AAATATTTCACTTCATACTTAGAACATTTCCAATGATTTGCCAACCAACATTATTACGTTCCCTCTGTGGTCTTGCTATTCCAGATCAAAGAACTGTAAGCCTATTACTTTACGGTGCTCACATGTGTATCCATAAAGATGTAAAAAAATGGAGGTAACTCAGTCCAAATTTTCAAGAACATTACTTTGTATCCCTTGATGCATTTCAGTTGTGAGTTTGAAACTAGAGCTTGTTTGAATAATTAGACCTGTATGAGGATTTGCCTGCTGAAATATTACTTAATGTTAATTTGGGAGGGACAGATCCTTAAATTCAGTTAACCTTTGTGGATAAATTACAATAACCTTAGATTTGGTCTATGCTGGATGCTTGACTCAGTCCTTAATAACCCTAAGATCTTTGTGAGAGGTTTGTTAGAGGTTAAGCAATATATCCTAGATCTAGACTTACAAATTTTACATTTATTGTTTTAATGTTTTATATTGCATTGTAACTGAATGATTGTAATCTGCCTAGAGTCACCTCTGATTTGGAAAAGAGACATAATTTGTAACTTTCCACTCCAAGACTGAATTTGTCAGCCAGTGTAGAGCTGAATCACTATCACATATTTTGTTGACAACATTGCACCATCACAGTGCTCCAAATTAGTATCTCCTCTCCCAGTAAATCACTCTAGTTGTTTTATGGAAAATAATGTTTTTCTATTAGCAGACATATACTTAGAACCCTTAGAAAAAGATGGCAAAATATTGTTCAAGCGTATGTGCTGTAAGGAAGCATTCAATGTAAATAATGTCTGATAGACTGTTTTCTATATTAGGAGATAATCAGCTATGCATTTTAGGTTTTAATATTTTAGTTTGGTTTAGTATTTGAATCAGAATTTTTGTCTATGACCATGAATAACTTTAGATTAACTTAATTCTGAGCAGTTAAGATAAATGTAAAAGTTTCCCCTGTTCACTGGTGTCCAACTCCAGGGGATGGTGCTCATCTCTGTTTCTTAGCCAAGGAAGCCAGCATTGTGCAAATACATTTCCATGGTCATGTGGCTGGCATGACTATACATTGAGGTGCACAGAATGCTGTTACCTTCCCACCAAAATGGTACCTATGTAATCTACTTGCATTTGCATGCTTTTGAACTCCTAAGTGGGCATGAGTTGGGGCAGGTAACAGGAGCACACCCATTGTGCTGACAAGCCCAGTATCTTTAACCACAGAGTCATGATGCCATCCAAGCAACTATTGCAATGTATTTCGGCAAACATGTTTTTTAAATATATCATTTTACCCATTCCACGATAAAGGAAAAGAACAAATAACTATGTAGATTCTTCCCAGTTGTAAACGTCACTTGAAATTATTGTGTAAGATAGAAGCAGAGAGTATGAAAAAAACAACATAAGAAAACCAGGATAAGCCATAAAGTGTCACTTATAAACAACCAGAATTAAGCTAAGCCAAACGAGCCACATTTCCTTGGTATGCTATGTGAATTGAGCTATATTATGCATAATACAGTTAATCTATTTGGTCTTAATATATGAACATAACCACTAGAGTTTATAAACTATCGGTTATTGTTTAGCTTTTTGTGCAAACATAATCTGACAAGTACAATGAAATTTAAAATCAAACAGCTTCACTTCAAATTGTTATTTCAAAATTACTGCAAAAGGAGAAGAAATTGGTTCAAATGGTGCTGCAGTATTTGTTATCTTTAGATTTATTTATTTATATCCCGCCTTATTATTTTTACAAATAGCTCAAGGCAGAGAACATATCCAATAATTTAAATTAAATTATTTAGATGACTAAGAGTTTATACCAAGCAATACTATTTTGTTTGAATTTTATGAGTTATGCTTAAAATTATTTAGTAGTAATTTTCTCCATATTATTAGATGCCATTTCCCTCTAAAATTTCTGTATTAACCTGTATTGTATTGCATAACCACTTTGTGTTTGAATTTTAAACTGAGATACCTGAAATGGCCTTTGTGCAAATATACCATCCTGTGCTATTGGCTCAAAAGTCTGTTATTCCTTTGCTGCTTGCAGGCAAACATGAGCCTTCCTGCCCACACGTTTTGGCACCTCTGCTCTTATTTTAATTTTAAATAAGCCCAATCATAAATCACCAGTATGTTTTTTAAAAAAAAATAGAAAAAGAAAAATCAACCATTTTATTTTTCATAATCAGGCTGTATTTACAATGTTTACAAAATGTATTTACAATGTTTACAAAATGCTTGATCTGATAAAATTTCCTTGATGCCAAGGGAGGATTTCTTATTCCTATTTTTCTACTCTGCCAACTCCTTTTTCTACTTTCTGCCTGAACTAAGGACAACAACCATTTGTCCTACAGTATATTAAGGTGACCAACTTTTTTACAATGAAAAGGAGGACACAAATAAATTGGAAAAAAAATATCATAAATAAAAGAAACATTTTATTCATTGCAACAATAATACAGACAACTTGCATGTGCAAAGTTTGCCAGCCGGGTGTTTTGGCGTGCTCAACAGCAATTCCTATTGGCTTTCGAAAGCCAATAGTGGGAATAGCACAGCTCATGAAAAAGTTGAAAAAAAAACCATTAAAAAAAGGTGCCAGAACGCCGTTCTGAGCGTTCTAAGAGAAAAAAAAAAGCCCTGCAGATTAGTCTTCAAATATCGAAAAGGAGGACATGAACGAGGACACTTTTTGAGGGAGGACAGAACTTACAAAAGGAGGACTGTCCTCCCTAAAGGAGGACGGTTGGTCACCTTAAGTATATGAGAGATACTGAGTGAGTAAACAGAGCGAGTAAATTTTCATGGCCAGCATGTAAGGACATGGGCCTGTGCTCTGTATCTTTATAGCCACAAATCACCCATTCATACCTAATATACATAACTTTCCACATTTAAATATTTTTCTGCTCTAGATTTATTGACCAGCTTAAGGACTTAATTACAGCAATTCCATATGGATATTAAATTTAATACTATATGACTCTATTGTATTAATTTTTCCTTTTGCTCTGTTCAATTTATTTTAATGGCTCTAATGCATATAGTTTTTTTTAATGCATTATATAACCAGTATTGTATTTTTTTCTGGTGGTGTAATTGCTTGTTGCATTTTGCCATTAAAAAAAATTACAGTGACATTCCTTGCTTTTTAGATTTACAGTCATGTTTAAATACAAATATTTTTGCAAGTGAATACAAATTTTGTAAGAGCAAAACATATATACTTGTTTGCCACAACTTAATCTTGTACATTTCTCTCCATGCAACTGTGAGTAGTACTTTTTGAAAACAAGAAAATATTTGGCATTTGTGGAACTATCCAAATTTTTAATAAAACCTGTGTGGGAATTACATTAGAAAAAACAATATACAAAGGCTAATAAAACCAAAGGGTTTCTTTTATATGCCTGGTTATTTCCAAATTATATTTCCTGTAATATAAGCATTATCCCTTGGAAAATGTCTGTCTAGGCCTTTAACCAAATGCCTTCCAAGTATGATGAAAATGAACCTTAGAAGCCTCAACTAGAATGTGATTTACACACACCCTTCCTGAGGCCCAGTGAGGTTGCCCACTTTCTAATTCCTTCCTGCTGCTCTCTGCAGCTGTCATCACCCTCCCAGCACTATTTTTACTCATAATACTTCCTTCTCTGCCCATTGGGTTATGTTGTTCCTATTTGCACTGTACCAGATGTGTCCAGCCATTCACAGGTGTGCCCAGTATTATTCTCACATTTTCCTCCTTACTGAAAGAAATGCAATAGGATCTAGTTGTTTTCAGTCAGTCAGAAGCAAAGTAAAGCAAATCTCTAGGTTTATGGTATCTTTCTAAATAGATTTCTACGGATCCCTTAGAGCTTAGAAATGGCAAGGAATATTGTGTCCTTTGAATTCAACACACTGGGATGATTGTGAGTTTGCCAAGATACATGTGGGCAAGATATACCTCTAAACAAAACTGTTTTTCATTTTGCTTCCTTTTAACTGTGCATTGTAAGGGCAATTATGTAATGCTGTCCATATTTTCTTTCAGAAATGCAGTTTTCCTCATTAGATAATGCACAAGAAACTTTGGAGGCATGCCAAAGTGCTCTGGAATAAAACTTGAAAAAATCCTGTATGCTTTTCCTTAACTTTCAGCACTGTTTTTTAGTACATTCTAAAGAAAATGTTGCCTTTTGCAAAAGCATATGATATTTCAAATCACACTTATAATACAGCTGAACACCTTGATTAAGATCTTCAGAGGCAGATCCTTCTTTACATGCATTGTTTACCATGTCATTATGTATCAGAGTTTTATTTTTATCGGTAAGTGCTAGTCATTGTCACATTACTAAGCTGACAAATATAATTACTATCATGCTAGATTCAAGTCCTAAAGAGACAGTAGCAATGTGGAGAGAATGACAAGATACTCTAGCAGAGACTATAAGTGCAGGCAGCTACAGCAACCTATATGTAATGACTGAAATGACTATTAATCTATCAGCAGTTTACAGTACAAGTGATCCTCATTTAACAACCACTAGTTCAGCAACTATTCAAACTCACAATGGTGCTGAACCAGTGGTACATACAATAGGTTGCCATACAGTGATTACTACAGTCACAGACACCCTACAGTCATATGATCATGATCTGGGTGCCTGGTGCCCAACTCACAACCATGATATTGCAGTGCCCTATGGTCACCATTTGCAAAGTCAATGGAAAAGCCAGTAAGGATTGGCATATGATATTCCACTTTATGACATGGGATCTACTTAATGACCAATTGACATGTTGAAATTGCCATCGCTAAACAATGCAACCATGTGACATCATGCTTTCTGATCACGCCTCTTAGTAGTGGAAATTCTGGTCTCAATTACTGTCATTAAGTGAAGGCTACCTATAAACATAAGGCCAAGGTTAATCACAGAGATATAAAAAACATCACTTAAAATCCTTGACCCGGTTAAAAAAAATGTGATTTTATGACCTCATTTTGTAAGGTAAGAAAGAGATTAGGATGCCTGACTATAGGGAAGATTGATTCTATTGTGTGAGACAAGTCCTTAGCAACCACAGATAATCTCAAAGAATGGGGAAACAAATGTATTTTCTTAATTATCCAGAAATGAAGCCATATGAGATTTTAAAACTAATACTATGGAATTTTGTTCAGGAACAAATTGATAGTAAATGCAATCCTTTTAATATAGGTATTACCTGGATTCTCTTAATTTTTCCAGAGATCAATTGGTTGCTGTGTTTTATATCAAATGATCATTCAGTACTAGCTGCCCTGTCCATTTTACTCAGATACCAAAAACAAAAACTTCCCACACAATTATGCAATTGGTAAAGTACAAAGAAATACAATCCATTAGTTTTGAATCAATGTCTGCAGTCTTAAATACAGATTAAAGTATAAATTACATTATGCCCATAAAGTATTAAATTTATGCAAACAAAAGATGCTGAGTTGGAATGAGTTTTTTTAATTGATGTTTGAGGTGACTCATGACCCTAGCAGGCAGTCTTGAACAAGGGTTTTTTGTTTGTCTCTCTTTCCTCTCTTCCAGAATTACCAAACATCTTTCCGTCATTACGCAGATTCAAATTTTTCTTCCTTCTGCTTTGTTGTTAAGCATATCCAAATTGGAACAGAGAAAACCAAAAGAAATCTATTCTGATACAAGTTATAAAGGTTAGCATGAATAGTTGAAAAGCAAAACAAGAGAGGGATGCAAACTGAAGGCAATTAAACACTTTCACATCTTCTCCATCTTTATTAATGCATAGATATCCCATTTATATTTATCATGCAGACATATATAGTCTCTAGTCCATTAATTTCAAAACTGTTTAAAAGACACAGAAAGAATGAAGATGGTCTGATTAAACAGATTGTCCCTGTCTGCAACAAAAACAAAAAAAGATACAATGAAAATCTGCTCCCATTAATTCTATCAACTCCCTGTAGAACAGTAAGTATCTTGGTTCATTTTTTTTTTAAACTAAGAGTTGCCTATACTACTTGAATTGGACCTCTCATACATGGATGTCTTTTATGTATAATTGCTGAGAAGGTACTAATTAAAGTATGTTGATGTAGCATGAATTTTCATTTTGAAGTATAAGGAAGGATTGCTCCTTCCTCTCATTGATTATGATGAAACAACCCCCAAATTTATTTCCTCAAAAATGAAACCAAAAGAACAATTATTAAAATTTCAGGGGGCACAAGCTACCCCATATTTAAAATATAGAATGCAAAACCCTTCATTGTCAAAACAAAGAGCAGAAAATAAGACTTACATCTCTACAAATCAAGATGCTAGCAAAAAAATCTTCAATCTCTTTGCACAGTGAAACATACGGCAGGCACTGGTCATAAATTAGATACAGGTTATTTCAACTAAATACCTATATTTACCCTTTGACAAGCAAGTACTGTAATCATGAAATGTAAAATCCCTGAACTCACTGGCTTTCTAGAAAACAAGCAAAACATTTATTTGTGAATCTATACAATTCTGTATGTCACATAACAGGAAAGCATATCCTTTTAGGGAAGTGAATCTATATGCATTGATCTAATTATAAAACTTTGGGTATAACATGCATAAGCCAGAACAGAATTAGAAAACAGAAATAAACCATCCAAGATGGCTTGGTAGAAGCACTTCCAATTAGTGTAACAATCAATTCTCAAAGTTAAGAATCTTTTAGTATTGGGTAACATAATGAGAAGACCAACCAACAATATATCAGATTATGACTACTGTTAATTTTTTCCTCATTAGTACAAATGCTAGAAAATACTATGAATCCCTTGGAACATAATATGAAGCAAATCATAGTTACCTGAAATGCTAAAGATAGATATAACATTTCAACCTTTATTATATAACACACAAAATACTAAAATGATTTACAGATGCAACATAAGTGTAGTGAGACAAGAAATAGTTTCAGTATTTTTTCATGCTGTTGGACATCCGGAGGGCTGGTTTGGATCCGGGAAGAGGTGGCGATTGCCATACAGCTGAACTTGTACGCTTGAAATACCTTGGCTTACTTTTATAGAAGATATTCTCTAGCTTAGGGCTTGATATGAGACCAAATAACCTGTTGATATCTGGAGGATTGTAGTACTGGTATGTAACAGCTTCATTAAGTTGAACCCCTGAGGAAATAATCATTTTTCATACATGAGTAATTCTTCAGACAGCAACCCATCTCCAACCAAAGTACTTCTACAATGTTAAAAAATGGCCAGAATGTGAAGTTCGTCCAGTAATTCTAATAATAATCAATTGGGCTGCAGCAAACAAGTATATTAAACTGCTTGTCACTCCAAGTCAAAGACATACATTTGTCTTGGCCTAAAAGGGTTGGCACTATGGAAAAGAATACAGATTTTCCAATTATCAGTATCATTATTTCATATGATAATTTACTGAATTTTGACCGGCTCTATTTTTTCCCTCTTTTATTCTTATCATAAAGATACAAGAAATGCTGTAAAATGTAAATCTGAAAGACGCATATATACCGCTGGCCCACAAAGGGATGGGTTTGCTAGGTTGACTCTCATCATCAGTGGAATCGTCGCTATTGAGATCCATTCCATAGTCATTCAGATTGATTTTGAGAGACTTTGTATCTTTCAGACCTTGGGCATCCACTTGGTTGGAACTCCCACTATAACATTTCTAAAATACAGGGAAGGTTGAATACATAAATCAATGTTACAAACACAGCAGTTTTCAACAGTGGCTCTTTGTGACTACTCTGCTTGCCTTTCCAAAATTTATGCATACACTATTTCATGGAAGCAGCAGCTAAAAGTTATATTGTACACAAAGATTATGGAAAGGTTGCTATTCTCCTCCAGATGTGTTTACAGACAAATGAATAACAGAATTTGAAGCTCTTTACCAACAATATACAGTGTAATCAATGATTACTATCTGAAAAATGAATAAGTAGAAAGAGGCAGATGACTGAATCACAAAACCCAGGTGATTCAGTTCTGCAATTTTCTAAAAATAAAGTAAGGGGGTGACAGTGGGTAGAGGCAAATTTTCTATTTGAATATGCCAAATGGAAACAATTGCATTAAAAAAGAACAAAGGACTACATAAGTTTGGCTATTTTATGTACTAGCATTAACTTTGCTTCAACACACTTCACAAACTCAGAAACCCATCAAAATAATGTCTTCCTCCTTAAATGGCTGAAATAATAACTATAGGTTTTCTTACTATGCTAACATATTTTTAATATACTGCATTATTTTATTTTGCTTAAATCTATAACAGATATGTGTCTAAAGTCAGTAAGACTTTAAATAAAGGCATATTTCAAATTACGTTTGTGTAAGATACTGGACATTTAATGATATACTTCAAACAATCTAGCTCTATCTTTAGCTTAGCTAAAATGAAGATGTTTGAATGTGAAACATTAATCCAAGGGTTTTTTTTCTTTTAATTCTCTAACTCATGTTTATTTTCAATCTTTCAGCCCTTCACCTGTTGTACTTTCCACAGAACTGGCAGATTAATGTTTAGCTTGCAAATGCTGAAGTCCTTTGTATAACAACACATTAAAATAAATACAGCTATGACTATTACAGATCAACTTATACCCAGAATTTTAGTCTCCAAACAAACTACCTTTTAAAAATTATTTGACATTTCAGAATAGTAGTATCAGAAAAATACTTTATCATAGATATTTGTGGATCTCATTATAAATACCTTAACATATATGCTTACTCAGTGCTTTTTTGTAAAAAAAAAAAAAACATGCTGGAACTCACACATGTCATACAACCCGCCTTGCCTACCCTATAAGGTTCCATCCAAAAAAGGTGCTGGAACTCCGTTCTGGGTGTTCTATGGCAAAAAAAGCCCTGTGCTTACTTAAAATGGGACCACAGAAAGCATGGATTATGTCTCACAGAGCAACAATTTGAGCACAGTAACCTTTCCCTTCAACTGAGTAAATCAGTGAACTTCATCAATCATGTTTCTCTGCCCTCTTGTGATCATATACAAATATTGCAGAACCCACAATTGTTTACAGCAGGGGTGTCAAACTCAATTTCATTGAGGACCGCATCAGCATTGCGGTTGCCCTCGGGGTGTGTGGGTGTGGCCAGGACCTACTGGGTGGGCATGGATGGAGTAGGTGTGGCCTACTGGGTGGGCATGGCCAGCTCTACATCGTTCACGTCAAGGGTGTCTGTGGGAGCCTGGGCAGGAGTGGGATAGATCTGAGGGTCTCTGGCAGAAGGGGTTGGGACCAGGGCAAGTGCCAAGGCATGGTCCACTGGAGGAGCCTCATTGTTCCTCTCAGGCCATGCGGGGGGGGGGGAGCTTATGGAACTAAGACTATGCATTTCAGCATAGATGGCCACCACAAAATTGTACATTGGCTCCCGGCTGGCCTGGGTCAGGGCCAAGGCAGTGGTGGCCGTTCCCTCACTGTTTCCAGGATGGCTTCGCGGGCCATATGAAACCACTTTGCAGGTTGCATCCGGCCCCGGGCCTTATGTTTGACATGTCTGGTTTATAGCACAAATAGAGATTCCTCCCCTGCATGGATTATATTTTGCAGATGGCATATAGTTCAGGAAGTGCTTAATATAAGGATCCAATCTGGGTCAATCACCGGGACCAGAGGTTTTGACCTCTAAGCTTTTGGACTCATGCTGGAGCCCATCGTCAAGGAACTTCTCTCTAGCCTAGAGCCTAGAGTCCGAAAGCCTGGAAGACTAAACCTCTGGTCCCAGTGACAAAACTCAGATTGGATCCTGCAATATTATCTGAGGACATATATATTCACCTTTATTCCTGCTTAATATAAGATTTAAATCAAAGAAGTCATTAAAGTATATCAAAGATGGCCCAGTTAAGCATGGGGGACTACGTATTTTGATAAATAAAGATAGCTTATGATAGAAATGTTCAATATTCATTCAACAGCAAAGCTACTGACATTTCACGGAGAAAGAATGTATGAAGTTCTAGAAGCAAAACCTTGTGTCAGAAAGTATCTGAGTGATGACAGAACAAAAAGAGGAAAGAAAATCACACAATATAAATGTTGACGATGTTTGTCTATCTGAAAGCAGAACAGGTATATATGTACAGAAATGTCCCTCTAATTTAGAAGCGGAAAACTATTCCAATCCTTGGACAATGTTAATACTTTCTACATCCAGTTTACATGCCTTTCTCCACTGCTGAGCTAAAATGCTCTCCGCCTACCCTTGGGTAGGCAGAAAACCAAAGCAATATATCTTCCTGATCCAGTCCTGAGTTGTTACAGCCATTTGATTTCTTTTCAAGTAGGTACAGTAGTGGCAAAGCCTAACAGATTGAATACGCCTTGAAGCTTCCTTTGGGCAATGCTTGAATGAGGTGACTTCATCACCAATTCAGCTTATCAGTATTGTACTCAGGTCAATGAGAATGAGGTGGCTGGATGGAGTCACTGAAGCAGTAGGAGTGAGCTTAAATGGACTCCAGAAGATGGTAGAGGACAGGAAGACCAGGAGGAACATTGTCCATGGGGTCGCAATGGGTCAGATATGACTTCGCAACTAACAACAAAAAGAACTCAGGTCAATCTCTTTCATGGCTTGGTGATAAGCTAAAGGCAGTATCATGGGAACACATGAGGAAAACATAAAGAAATCGACAAGTTATATTTCTGGCGTGGCAATTTGCAAATGAGGGAAGACCTAAATAACGGACTGCAGGCCTCAATCATTTCCCATCTTGCAGGAGAAGCCTGCAAAATAGTTCCTACTCACCTGAGCAGTTATATTCAGCCACCCACATGCAGCAGGGACAGTTTCCACCTGCACAGCTGTCTCGTCCTGCTGCAGCTGAGCCTGTGAAGCAGGATTCTCTTCTTCCTATTAACCAGAGAAGAGTCTTAGTTACCAGGCCAACCAATTTAATCGATTTGAAGCCACACAAAAGCAACATACGCCAATCTGTCTATTCTGCAGAATTATTTTCTTCTTGGATATCTATTAAATGATCCATTAATGAGTCCTCAGATTTGTTTTTTTTTTTTTTTTGGTTGTTTGTTTGTTTTAATTGCTACCTGACTGAAGAAACACACAGTGAAATCCAACATTTGCCCCATTCTCTTCCATCATAATTACTGTTTGTATGCCAAGAAGGACTACAGTTATAACCACTGCCTTTTTCCTGGTCCTAGGGCAAAACCAACTATAGTTATGACTGTATTATTTTATTGTTTTTATGATTGTTTTAACTTTGTACGCCGCCCTGAGTCCTTTGGGATTGGGCGGCATATAAATATTTGAAAATAAATAAATAAATAAATACAGTTGCATAATCTGCTTTAAGTATATATAATTTTAGTTTCTATATATCACATGTGATTAACAATATGTTGTCTCCCCTAAAAATCTAAAATAGTAAGTGACATGCAAAGGCAGTATTCCTTTCAGACAGAAACAAAGTGACAGGAAGAAATTGAAGCCATACATTTTGGAAATGCAGCTGAAAATATTATTTGCTGGCAAAAGCTTGCTCGATCTTAATTCCCCCCCCCCCGTATATTGGCTTTTGAATAAATTAACATACCTTTACGTTTTCTTCCTCTTCCTTAACTATAGTGAGTTCCTGAACTTTCACCAGCTTCTCTTTATCTTGGTGCCTTTGGTGCCTAAAAACAAAGCTGAGTTAATATAGAAATACTTGCAGTGCACTGACTGCTTGGAAATCCTTGTCAAAAAAGTCAGTTGGGAATGTAAACTTTCCCCAAATGTGAATAGTTTTCCTGGATATAATTACCTTCAAATGAAGTAATACCATTTCAAAGTTGGTTATTTGGCTCATTATTTTCAGTTTTGTTTTTGTGTCTCCTGTAATTCATTGAACTTTGACTTACCCATAGTTTCAATCTTCATAGTTCTCCTCCTTATTTATTTTATTTATTAAATTTATTTGACACTCATCTTCTATTGAAACAGCTCTGGGTAGCTTACAGAATTAAGGAAACAAAATTCTCACCCCTTTTCCTGTCTATTGCAATTGATTTCCAGCATTTTCTTAATTTCCCCAATTGTTCTCCATTTTTCTGGACGTTCTTGAAGCTTTGGCCCTTCTTCCTGAAACAAGCATAGAGAATCAGTGTCTTTCATTCATGCATGAATACATATATACACAACGCACAAACACAAACACACACACACACACACACACACACAAACGAATATATATGGAAAAACAAGAACACTTACAGTGCTGGTGAGAAGCCTAGACTCATGTATTTATATAAAAATATATAAAACAGTTTTTACTGCAGTAATAAATATGTTAAGAACAAATTTTAGAAATGAGATGGTACAGCTATTATTTTTCAAATCTTACCAATATATATTGTCAGATCAAGAACAGAATACTCCACCATTCTTCAAGACACAAAGAAAGTAGTGTCTCAACTAGAAAATTCTACATTTATCGTTATCTCCAAACACACGGAAATGCTTGGGCCTATGAATGTGAATTTAAAAAGCTACACTAACATGAGTACTTATACAGTCTGTTCATCCTTCATTCCCTTTGGATATTCTTTAACAGCAAGCCAGCAGCAATTAAACAATCTGTGAGGCTTTCATATTTTTGATCACAGAGAAATAAAAACATTATTTTTTAAGTATGATCAAAGCCTCTTTGGAGTTTGCCTATTCTAGTTGTGGCATACACAGCCTCCTTCTCTATAATTCCATTTTACTGGAAAGTCAATATAGTGCTTACCATTTGTGGCAGTTTCAGTTTTCGGAATTCTGCTTCTATTTTCTTTATAGATTTCTTTGTTTTTTCTTCTGCTGTTTTCTCCTCTCGCATCTGTGCAAAGAACTTGTCAAAATTCTATCTATTTTATTTTGTATTAAAGACTGGGGAGATATATTACATAACAAGTCCTGTTTGGTACAGTAGTTGGAACGCGATATTGCAGGCAAACTGTGCCCACAGGTTGGAGTTCGATCCTGACAGACTCAAGGTTGACTCAACTTTCCATCCTTCCAAGATCGGTAAAATGAGGACCCAGATTGTTGGGAGCAATAAGGTGACATCGTAAACTGCCCAGAGAGTGCTGTAAAGAACTATGGGGCAGTACGTAAGTCTAAGTGTTATTGCTATAATAAATATAGATTTAGGACTAGAGCACGGGTCAGCAACCCATGGCTCCACAGCCGCATGCGGCTCTTTCAGCCGTCTCCTGCGGCTCCCTGTCCTCAGCCACCATGTGCAGTCTGAAAAAAAAGTGGGACTAAAAAAGTTCAACCAATCAATTCAAACTTCTCACGAAGTTTGAATTGATTGGTTGAACTTCTTCAGTTTTGGGACTGCCCACAAACCTCTTTCCTTCTTCGGACTGCACGTGATGGCAGTGGAGGAAGAGCTGGGAGGATTGCTGGAAAGGTGGCAGAACCTGGGTAAGGAGCCACGGGTGGCCAGTCTTGGGATGCCTCTTTCCTGCCCGGCAGATCTCCCCTCGCCCTGCTCCACTGTTGCCTATGTTAGTCTGGGGGGGTCGCCCAGGTCTCGGTAGCTTCCTCTCCCCGCCCGCGCCTTTCGGCCATCTCGCGGGCAGCGGATCTCCGTGGCCTCTTTCGAGAGATTCCCCCGTGGCCTCTTTGTCGTCCTCCCGCTGTCGCCACTGCCACTGCTACTGGTCACACTGAGCGAGGCCGGAGAGACGGCGGCGACTAGGCAGCCGCTCCTGTTCACCGTCCTCTCGCTGTCACTGCCACTCGCGCTGAGTGAGGCCGAAAAGGTGACGGCGACCAGGCAGCCATGCCCCTTCGCCATACTCCCGCTGCCGCCTCTGCCACGGGGCTCTCCACCACCCAGCCCCACCTCGGGCCCATCGGTGGCGCCTTCCTCGGCCGCCTTTGGAGAGCCACAGCTGCCACCGCCCTTGGTGCTGCAAGAGAAGGAGACCTTGGGCTACGAGGGCGGCGGAGCCGGCGGCGGGTCAGGATCCCCCTCGTCCCTGCGGTGGCACTCCCCATTGCCAGCGCAGCCACCATGGTGTACTCGCGCTGCAGGGAGAGAAAGAGAGAAAGAGGAACAGAGAGGAAAGAGAGGAAAAAGAGAGAGAGAAAGAGAGGAAATAGAGAGAGAAAGAGAGAGAGAAAGAGTAAGAGAGAAAAAAGAGAGCGGAAAGAGGGAGAGAAAGAGGGAGAAAAAGAGAGGGAGAGGAAAGAGAGTGAGGAAAGAGAAAGAGAGAGGAAAGAAAGTGAGAGAGAAAGAGAGAGATAAGAGGAAAGTGAAAAAGAGAGAGGAAACAGAGAGACAGGAAGAGGAAAGAGAGAGAGAAAAGAGGGAGAGGGAGAGGAAAGAGAGAGAAAGTAAAGAGAGAGAGGAAAGTGAGGAAAGAGAAAGGAAAGACAGAGAAAGAGAAAGGAAAGAGAGACAAAAGAGAGAGAAAGGAAAGAGAAAGAGAGAGGAAAGTGAGGGAGAGAAAGAAAGGGAGAGGAAAGAGAGAAAGAGGGAGAGGAAAGATAAAAGAGAGAGGAGAGAGAGGAGAGAGAGGAGAGAGAGAAAGAGAAAGGGAGAGAGAGAGGGGGAGAGAGGAAAGGGAGAAAGAGAAAGAGAGGAAGGAAAGAAAGTGAGAGGAAGAGGAAAGAGAAAAAATGGAAAGAGAGAGGGGGATAGGAAAGATAGGGAGAGGAAGAGGAAGAGGAAGAGGAAAGGGGGAGAGAGAGGAAAGAGAGGGGGAAAGACAGAGAGAAAGAGAGAGGAAAGAGAGAAAAAGGAAAGTGAGTGAGGAAACAGAAGGGGAGAGTGGAAAGAGAGAGAGGGAGAGAGGAAAGAAAGAGAAAGAAAAAGAGGGGAAAGAGAGAGAGGAAAGAGTGAGAGGGAGAGTGAGGAAAGAAACAGAAAGTGAGAGGAAAGAGAAAAAGGAAAGTGAGTGGAAACTGAGAGGGATAGGAGGAAAGAGAGAGGAAAGAGAGAGAGAGGAAAGAGGCAGAGAAAGTAGGAGAGAAAGAGAGGGAGAGGAAAGTGAAACAGAAAGAGAGGAAAAAGAGAGAGGAAAGGGAAAGAAATAGAGGAAAGAAAGAGGGAGAGAAAGAGAAAGTGAGGGAGAGGAAAGAAAGAAAGAGAGGGGGATAGGAAACAGAGAAAGAGAGAGAGGGAGAGGAAGATGAAAGAGAGAAAAAGAGAGGAAAGAGAGAAAGGATAGAGAGAGAGGAAAGAGGGAAAGAGGAAAGAGAGAAAGAGAAAGAGAAGGAAAGAGAGAGAAAGGAAAGAGAAAGATTGAGGAAAGAGAGGAAAGAGAAAGAGGGAGAAGGAATGAGAAAAAGAGAGGAAAGAGAGAAAGAGACAGGAAGAGGAAAGAGAGAGAGGAAAGAGGGAGAGAGGAAAGAGAGGGAGGGAAAGAGTGGAAAGAGAGAGAGGAAAGAGAAAGAGAGAAGAGGGGAAAGAGAGAAAGAGAAAGAGGAAAGAGAGGGAGAGAAAGAGCGAGAGGAAAGAAAGAGAGAGGGGAAAGAGATAGAAAGAGAGAGAGGGAGAGGAAGAGAAGAGAGAAAGAGAGAGGAAAGAGAGAAAAAGAGAGGAAAGAGAAAGGAAAAAGAGGAAAGAGAGAGAAAGATAAAGAGAGGAAAGAGAGGAAAGAGAGGGGGAGAAAGAGAGAAAGAGAAAGAGAGGAAAGAGAGAAACAGAGGAAGAGGAAAGAGAGAGCAGGAGAGGAAAGAGAAAAAGAGGAAAGAGGGGGGAGAAGAAAGAGAGTGAGAGAGGAAAGAAAGAGGGAGAGGAAGAGGAAGAGAGAGGAGAGAGAAAAAGGAAAGTGAGTGAGGAAACAGAGGGAGAGTGGAAAGAGAGAGAGGGAGAGAGGAAAGAGAGAGAGAGGAAAAAGAGAGGAAAGAGAGAGAGAAAGAGAGAGGAAAGAGAGGGGAAAGAGAGGGGAAAGAGATTGAGAGGGAGAGGGAGGAAAGAGAAAGAGAGGAAAGAGAGTGAGAAAGAGAGGAAAGAAAGATAGGAAAGAGGGAGAGAGAGGGAGAGGAAAGAGAAAGAGAAAGAGGGGGAGAGCAAAGAAAGAGGGGGATAGGAAAGAGAGAGAAAGAGGAAATAGAGAGAGGGAGAGGAAAGAGTGAGAGAGAGGAAAGAGAGGAAGAGGAAAGAGGGAGAGAGAGAGAGAGGAAAGAGAGCGAGGAAAGAGAAAGAGAGGAAAGAGAGAGAGGGAAAAAGGAAAGAGAGAAAGAGCGAGAGGAAAGAGAGGGAAAAAGGAAGGAGAGAAAGAGTGAGAGGAAAGAGAGAGAGAAAAAGGGAGAGGAAGAGAGTGAGAGGAAAGAGAGAAAGAGAAAGAGGTAAGAGAGAAAGAGGGGGGAGAGGAAAGAGAAAGAGGGGGAGAGGAAAGAGAGAAAAAGAGGAAAGAGAGAGGGAGGAAAGAGAGAAAGAGAGAGGAAGAGGAAAGAGAAAGAGAGAGGAAAAAGAAAGAAAGGAAAGAGTGAGATAGAGAGGAAAGAAAGAGAAAGAGGAAAGAGAGGAAAGAAAGAGAGGGAGAGAAAGAGGGAGAGGAAAGAGAGAAAGAGAAAGAGAGGGAGAGAAGAAAGAGAAAGAGAGGGGGAGAGGAAAAAGAAAAAAGAGGAAAGAGAAAAAGAGAGAGGAAAGAGAGAGGGAAAGGAAAGAGAGACAGACATACACACACAGAGAGAGAGAGAGCCTTTTGACATCTAAAATGAAGATAACACTGCATATATCCTTTTTTACTTTTATTTTATATATACAGTGCTTTTTTTGTAAAAAAAAAAAAAAAAAGTGCCAGAACTCACACACGTCATACAACCCACCTTGCCTACCCTACAAGGTTCCATCTAAAAAGGTGCCGGAACTCTGTTCTGGCTGTTCTATGACAAAAAAAGCCCTGTACACACACACAAACACACACACACACACAGATATATAATAAAGGTAAAAAAGAATATATGTAGTGTTATCTTCATTTTAAATATCAAAGAGGTTTTGCGGCTCCCAGCATTTTGTTTTCAGTGGGAAACGGGTCCAAGTGACTCTTTGAATGTTTTGGATTGCCTACCCCTGGACTAGAGGGGGATTAAAAGCCAAGGTAAAGTCTCCTTCAAATTGAATTCAACTCCAAATAATTTTATGGATGCCCCCAAGTGGTTTTCTTGGTAGCAAAGGAAGTCATAACTTGTTTTCTATCAATCCAGAGTGTAATATGTAAAATAATAGATTTAAATTTTAGGAAAGAAATTCTGAATGAATATTAGAAAAATATCCTAGCAATAAGAGCAATCTGACATTGGAACTGATTATCCCAACAAATGTGGGTTCCTATTCCTTGGACGTGTTCAAGCATAGAATAAGTGGAACTACCCAGCAAAATGTACCAGCTTCTTCTTTGTTCCCTCCAGATTTCTGACTTAATATGATGTTTGAACATTCCAGACAATATGTGAAGACAATCATGAAGAAAATCTGTTGTCAGGCCATTTTATACCTTGTCATTTCTTTCATCAAGCTGAGAAAATTTCTGTTCCATTCTCTTCTTTTTTTCTTCCTCCATCTGCTCTACTCGTTCTCGAGCTTGCAATGCCTTTCGCAGTCGCTCTTCACGTTTTCTGTGTAATATGTAGAAAGCACTTCATTTAACCCAGTGGTTCTCAACCTGTGGGTCGGGACCCCATTTGGGGTCGAACAACCATTTCACGGGGGTTGCCAAACAACGCAGTCCGCCATTTTTTCCCCCTTTTCCTTAGCTGTGCTACTCCCTTTTATTCTATTGGCTTTTGAAAGCCAATAGAATAGACTCTCTGAATAGAGTCTAATTCTATTGGCTTTCAAAAGCCAATAGGAATTGTCCAGGCTGTCTCTGCCCTGCTGAGCCCGCCAAAAGTCCCATTCTGCAAACGGTGCTGCACCAGTTGAGTAGTCCTCGACTTACAACCGGTTGAGTAGTCCTCGACTTACGACCGGTTGGGGGTCGCGGCATTAAAAAGGTTGAGAACCACTGATTTAACCTGATGAAGCTTTTTTGCGTTGCTCACAAAAAATTAACGTTGGTAATTTTGCTATATTTTTATAAACATGTATCTGTTCCTGAAGTGTCCATATTCTACAAAAGTTGTATTGCAAAACATTATCACTAAAAGCAATTATTCAGTGTAATCCCTACTTGCATGCAGGTATAAACATGTACTTAACAGTTTTATCTCTTCCAATCGACGTCTCTTTTCTTCCTCCACTTTCTGCTTTCTCTGTTGCTCTGCTTCTTGTTTTTTTCGAAGACTCTCCAGACGCTGGCGCTCCTTTTCCTAAGAGGTTATGGAAGATTTATATTAACTGAAGTTGCTGTGACCATTTTCTGCCCAATTGCCAGCAATTTTTTTTCCCATCTTTTGTATCCAGATTAAATCACACCAAGGAAATGTGGTAGTGCAAAACACCAGCACGTGCAGAATGACATGTCCAAAATAAGAGTGAACAGTGGTTTTAGGGCAGTTAAGTGTTTTTAAACAATTTGAAAGACTAGGATCACAACCCAGAAAATAAGGAAGATAGTTACTTACAACAAACTCCCCCTTTGTAGAAGGAATATGGAAAGAAAATACAAATCAACTTCCAGGAACATAAATGCCTAATGACTATTTCATTTATCAGTGTGATTGAATAATAGCCCTATCTACATCGGACTATAGAAAAATGCAATATGGCAGCAGGCTCAGAATAAATACCTTCATTATCCTCCTAGCCACAGCAGGTAGGACATCAGCATTGAAATTACTGTATATTACCTCAACACCTACTTTGAAGAGAAACAGAATTGATCACATTCAGTTTCTCTTACTGGTCTCTCCAATGGACATCCCCCTATTCTCATAGTGCCATTTTGTGGTATTTTATAGAATCAATGTGTTCACTGTGGTGCAAGAATGTGGTATAAGGAGTTATAACTCTTTAAGCATAGAACTGTCTTATAATAATACATTAGTATCATTAGTAGCTAGTTTTCTAATATTCATCATATTCATCTCTCTCTCTCTCTCTCTCACACACACACACAGAGAAAGAGACGGGGGGGGGGGCTCTTAGACCTACATGACTGAAACAGGAGTTGAACTTAGATTCCATCATGCAGAACATTTTCTCTGCTACAAAGATCTGGTTTCTCTAACCAATTTTAGCAGGACTTCCTGATATAGAGATTGTTATTATTTCTAAACTTAAATTAAAAAAAAAACCTCTTACCTTGGTGGCAGATTTACAGGGAGTACTATGTTTGGGGACTTTGTTCCCTGAAGACCCAGGAGATTTGAGAAGCTGATTCTTTTGCATGGTTTGAAAGAAGTTTTTGAAAGGTTGTATTATCTGTCAGAAAAATATATTTGCTTTTACTGCTTGGGCATTACACACAAGAGTATATTAATATGACATTTACCTACCTTGGATGGGCCAGATGTTGGCAGCATTTTCTTTGCAGAAGTGGATGTGGTTGTATGACTGAAAGGACTAGGATTTTTATCTTCTGTGCATGAAGGAGCAGGTAGGTCCTCCACTGCTTGTCTATAACTTTGCTTCCTGGAAAAAAAAGAATACACAAAGTTTTCTCAGTTATACAGTGTACGTATCTTTGTTTAGTGGAATAACTTAAGACTTTTACTATTCAGCATATCCAAAAAGTTTGGGAGTTCTCCTTCAAAAACTAGGCTCTTCAAAAGTCAAAGTGGAAAATCTTGGAAAAGCCTTAAAGTCAGGGAAAAGAGAGAAGTAGAAAGAGGGAAAGAGAGAGGATGTATGTAAGTATAAAGCATTGAAAATAAAGTGTTCCACTTTCATGAGCTATGAATCCAACCATTCACAAGATTTTGTTTCATAAAAAAACCAGTGTTAATAATTTCAACCCATTACTTACGAACATTTATAATGGTAGTTCTATCTTCTTTTAATACTGTATCAGTATAGCAGGATTTTATTTATTTATATCCTGTCTTTAACATTTTTGTGAATAACTCTGGGTGGTGAACATATTGAGATGAAGGAGTACCTCAGACTCCTTTTGCCTCCTATTTTCCAGATAATTGCTAATTGATAAAATTCAAACCATTTTGTTTCATAAATCTAATACTGACAGGTATATCAAAATGAGAGAGGGGGGAAGGGAAGGGAAGGGAGGAAGGAAAGAAAGAAAGAAAGAAAGAAAGAAGGAAGGAAGGAAGGAAGGAAGGAAGGAAGGAAGGAAGGAAGGAAGGAAGGAAGGAAGGAAGGAAGGAAGGATGGATACCGGATATTCTGCATTGGTTCATGGGAACTGTTGTTCCTGGCTAAATCTTCAGAATTACTGATGTAGGAGTCAGTAATAATAGTCTCAAGTCTGTCTGCAAGAAAAGCATAATTAGTAAGAGAGGTCTTGCCACAAAATCTTTTTGCCTAATAAAAACAGCTAAGTTGAAATAAAGCATATATGGTGGACAGAACTTGTTCTTAGTAGCACTAATGTAAATAGAAAAACGATATCAAGATTCAAAACTCCTTCATAAATTTTAATTACAGTGACACTAAATATACTAGCAAACTGTTTATGTTATGACTTAAAAATAAAAGTCTAGACAAAGATCGTATACATAAAAATTATCTAGGGAAAAATAGAATAATTTACTTAAGGGTTTTAACATCATTTAATGAAAAGTCCCATCTGTCCATGACATTATTTACCTTTATTGCAAGTCTTGTCTTGGTGCCTCTCAAATTGTGTTGGGTTGTGCATAGGAGTGCTAACAATTAGACTAGATGCATCCAGAGCACAAGGCTCTTTTTGTAGACTGTTCAGAGGCTAAGAAAAAAACAATACATTATTTTTGCACTTTCTAGATCAGTGGTTCTCAACTTTTTAATGCCGCGACCCCCAACCGGTCGTAAGTCAAGGACTACTCAATCGGTCATAAGTCGAGGACTACTCAACTGGTGTAGCACCATTTGCAGAATGGGACTTTTGGCGGTCTCAGCAGGGCAGAGACAGCCTGGACAATTCCTATTGGCTTTTGAAAGCCAATAGAATTAGACTCTATTCAAGAGAGTCTATTCTATTGGCTTTCAAAAGCCAATAGAATAAAAGGGAGTAGCACAGCTAAGGAAAGGGGGAAAAAAATGGCGGACTGCGTTGTTTGGCGACCCCCGTGAAATGGTCGTTCTGGGGTCCCGACCCACAGGTTGAGAACCACTGTTCTAGATAAAGAGATATATCTAAGAATATTAGTCTTACAATATTTTCCCATATTTGGGCTCTCATTTTAAGTTGACTGTATGTGTCAAGATGCTGATTGATTCGAAAATGCAGGAAAAAAAATTAAAGCAGCAGGGCTATCAATGGGAACAAATGCAAGAACAGTTATTTTTTATTTTTGTTAAATAAATAACATCTCACATAAGTATGTCATTGAAGGCGGCAGCTCTTAGCTGTCATTTTCAATTCTTAAAAAGACGGACAGTGCTTGGGTGGGATGAGAAATGGAAAAAAGAATTCAGTAATAGGCAATGGCAAACCATTTCTACATTGTTACTAAGAAAGCAACATCAACATGTTTCATCAGGTGTCTAGTTCTACTCAAAGTAGCCTTTACTTATATATGAATACAATAACAAATATCCTTACATTGTCCAAGGAAGGCAAAGAGGAATGTCATAACATCCTGTTAATTTTCTATCTTCACGAAAAGCAAAATTAGTACCAAGTAAGAGAGACCCAGTCAAAGTCATGAAAATACTTATCCTGAATATGATATGCTGTGTGTGAAGATCCAATAAAACTTTTTCTAAACTTTCCACAGTCTAGAAAGACTAGACTATGAAGAATATGTTTGTATCTGCATGGATTGAGAAACTGCATATTGAAATGACATTCCATAAAACTATCATCTGCAATTTTAGCCCAGTCATATAAACTGGTCCACAAAATAGCTTGCTTTAAAAAATCTTTTTGTAGCAATACCCTACCTAGGTAAACAGAGATTCCACATTTTAACATAGTAACTTCAAGTTACTTCCTTTACTTGATTGTTCATCACCATTATACAATGCTAAACCTCCCTAAATGAGATAATGACACAAAATTAATTTTTCAAAAAAGACACATATGAATGGAAAACAAGTGTCAAATAAAATCATCTTCCCAAAATCATATTGGGAATTAAATTGCAGAGTTGAAGTTGAAAGCTATACTGACTAACGTATTTATTTTCTGTCCAAGCAGGTCCTCTGCATTTAGATCAGTGGTTCTCAACCTTTTTAATGCCGCGACCCCCAACCGGTTGTAAGTCAAGGACTACTCAACCGGTCATAAGTCGAGGACTACTCAACTGGTGCAACACTGTTTGCAGAATGGGACTTTTGGCGGGCTCAGCAGGGCAGAGACAGCCTGGACAATTCCTATTGGCTTTTGAAAGCCAATAGAGTTAGACTCTATTCAAGAGAGTCTATTCTATTGGCTTTCAAAAGCCAATAGAATAAAAGGGAGTAGCACAGCTAAGGAAAAGGGGGAAAAAATGGCGGACTGCGTTGTTTGGCGACTCCCGTGAAATGGTCGTTCGACCCCAAATGGGGTCCCGATCCACAGGTTGAGAACCACTGATTTAGATGGACCTAAATCCATTGATTTCAGTAGGATTGGACATTCTCACCTCTCCACAGAATTAAAATTTATGCATTCTAATAGATGACTTGAAGCAGTAGTCACCCTCAACCTTGGCTGAATAATTAACTGGAATGGTAAATTCAACTGCATAACTTTAGAAATGTCTTAAGAATTGTGATCAGAGTTCAGAGAACTGCACTAAGGGCAAAAGGCAATCCATCATGTAAATCCAAATAGGTATATCTTCAAGACCTTACCTCTCCTAATTCAGCATTCTGTGTCAAAGGCCTAAAGAGAGAATTTGGGCAAATATTAACCCTACTTTTTTTCAGTTTTCATTATTTTATTTAAATGTACTGTGATCAACAGATACTATTTAAAGACAACATAAAAACAACAATGCAAAAAACAGTGAAAATGGAGGTCTGAAAATGGATGTATGCGTGCACACACACACATATGACTGCCTCATTTAGTGACCATTTATTGTTACAACTGTTGCAACCAGTCCTTGTATTTATGACTTTTGCAGATCTGTAAAGCAAAGTAAAATTGAAATAAGACTACAAGCATAGTCACAACTTCACTTAACAACTGTTTCCTGGTCTCAAATGTGGTTGCTGAATGAAGGTTATATGTGTATATACACCCACCATGCTATTTCCTTTCAGAGAAGCAATGTTATGTAAAATATAAGGGAAAAAAGTCAAATGTACTAAAAAAGAAAAGAAAGAAAAGCAGAAGATAAAAAGGAAAAAAAGGAAATCCAACTAAACTTTATTTTAGTTTTCAGTTTCCAACAAAGTCATTCACAGTGCTCTTCATAATTTTTTATATTTGCAAGCCATATTTGATTCCATTACTGAGTTTTGTTTTTCTTTTATAGTACCAGCCCTGACATTTTCAGGATCTCACCATTCTATCATGAATGTGTCTTCCTATTCTTCATGTATTCATTTTTTTCTTCATATATTCTTTCATATATTAGCTTTGTAATTTAATCCTCATTCATTCTCTCCAAGTGGCCATATCAACAATGTGTAGCGCTTCTTTTTCACTTCTATATTAAAACCTCATTCATTCACCAATTCATTCTTGATCCTATTTCTTTCTATTTTACTACTCGTATTTCTTAAGCAACCCATTCCCACTGAAGCCAATGTATATTCACGTTTCTCAACACATCCAGCTTCCGTTTCCACATAAGAGCGCAGAAACACACTCTTAAATACAACTATTTACATTATTTCAAACAATCTTCACAACAATCCACATATTATACATTATCTTTTACCAGTATCTATATTCCTTTCATTTCTGCATCTTTAGTAAACTTACTAAGATACACTATGCATTTACATGCTCCGATTTTTCTTTTTTAGGCATAACCTGTAATCATTCACCTCATTTTCCGCATCACCTATCTCATCTTCAATATCTTAATTTTCAGTATGATCCATGCTGAATGCATCATATAATCATATAAAAATATATAATGTTTGCTACAAATCTTTTAGATTGTAGATGCCAACAATATGGCATCATCTTCATACAATATATACAAATCCTCAATCAACATATTTCTAAAAACCAGTACATCCTCAGTCAACTGATTTCTAAAACCAGTACATACAATTCATAAATAATCATAGGGACATCACAGATATATACTCTTCAATGCTGAAATGTTGGAATCAGCACAAAAGCAAAATAAATAAATCTCTGTATTTTTCTAATATAGCAAAAATGAGCACCAGTTGATCTTTAATTTTTAATTAAAGATTGTTCAAGATTCTTTGCTGCCATGTTAATTTTTCACCAAATGTTATTTTCTGAATTGATAAATATTAAATATATTTAGTTTTCCAGCATTTTGCCATAGTAAATCGAACATCTACCGTATATTCCGGCGTATAAGGCGACTGGGCGTATAAGACGACCCCCAACTTTTGAGAAGATTTTCAGGCTTTAGAAAGTCATCTTATACGCCAGAAAATACAGTACAATATTGAATTTCTGTTTATAGATGAGCACAATAGGAGCTCCTTTGCTGCTAGAAAGCTCTGTCCTGTCAGTGCTTATTTCTGTAAAAAAAATAGGGCTGGCCATTAGGGGGCAGATTGGTTTTAAATTCAGAGAACAGCTACCCGTATATTCCTGTGTATAAGACGACCCCTGACTTTTGAGAAGATTTTCAGGCTCTAGAAAGTCGTCTTATACACCGGAAAATACGGTAGCTATAAAAAAATCTATTGTGCCATCATTTATATATCCTAGAAAAAATGGAACATAATACTTCAGTAGAATTATTATATATTTCTCTATTTTTTCCAGTCTCCTTGAAAATGTTCAACTGAAATGAAAAATGGAATAGGCAATGCTACCAGAAATAATCCTATCTACTAATCTGATTACATCCTACAGCATCATCTAAAAAGATTTTGATTCATATAATGGAATTGTCTGAGAATGCAGGTACCATCTATGAATTATTTTTATGGTCAATAGAATTAAAGGGAATTTTAGAAATCCAAACTGACTCCAAACTTCAAATCCCAAATCCTCTTCCCAAACTTTAGAAGTCTTTAAGGAGTTCAGTATAATCAGAGATTTGTCTGATTATAACAGCCTGGCTATTCATAATTGTTCAAGCATTCTTATTAATGGGTAAATATTATCAAACTAGTATTCACTTATTTATACTGCATATGGCATAAATGTAAAGTGAATACACTATTGTTCCAGGGACTTTAAAACTAATGATTGTGACAGATCCAAGTACCCATCTGTCTCCAAAGAACCATTGATCTTTAGTAGCACAGTATAAATGATTTGAATTGTACAATTTCCTAAAATGCCAGCGATGATCACTCTTTAGGGCAAGTATGCCAAATTAAATCAAAGCAAACTAATGGTGCCACCATAACCTAGTATCTGGTATGTATAAAACTTGAAATGAAAGGGAAAAAAATTGAGAAAGAAGAATTTTATTACAATAATTGATAACACAGTCGTCTCTTATTTAGACAAATGCACTGTTCATTAGATGGAGCTGTCCTTAAAGAGGGATCACAGGCAAAAAGATGGGAGACACATCTAGAATGGGTTGTATAGACCATTTAACATCAACTTTCAAAGACATACACTACTGAGAAAAATAATCCTTGAAAATATTTGTCCTAAAGAAATATAAATACTTACACAGGTAAACTCAAAAAGTAAACCAAAATAAATAAACAACAAAAAGCTGGAAATGATGTATATATCTGTATATATGCTTGTAACATTCATCCACCCACCCACCATAACATTAAACCTTGGATTATTTTCTGCCTATTGAGTTAAAATTTAGGTAAATTTTATTTGTTGTTTGTCGTTTTGAATTTTATACAGTCCAATGATGTATTATGATAATCTTTTCTTCATTCCTCAAAGAAGAGTTGGTGGCACTGATGGAGAAGAGATAAATACCAAGAATAACCTCTTTTCCAGTTCTAGAAAAACACAACTTCTTAAATCAGATATCTGAATGCTACATGATTCTGAATCATTTAATATGGCGTTAATTTTGAGAATATAAATAGAACCATTTTTTAAACCTTTTTTAAAAAATTCCAAACAATTTCAAAGGTTTACAGATTCAGAATATGTTTATTGATTCTAGATGAAGTTCAGTAAGATTTAAATTATTAGAATCCTTCAAAGGTTTTCAAAAGTTTGCTTACCCATCCTTGTGGTTTTCATCATTCAAAAATATTTCAGTGGAACTATGGCCTGGAGAATGAAAATGTTAGACTAAATAAATATAGTAAGTATAATAAGTATGTAGTAAGTATAGGAATACGTACATATAAGTATTGCTTTCAATAAAAGAGAAACTGCACACCCAATGCAGGAGGAATTCTAGCACTTTCTAGCATTTGCTATTTTTGTCTTGTTTCTATCTTTTAAACAATTTGTAAACCATTCAGAGTCTCTGGAAAGTGACTGGCAAATACATTTAAATATAATAAAAAAATAATAATACACATTCCTTAAATTTATCCACCAAAATAGACCTATGTTGTCAAACAAAACTAGGTTTGATCATTACAGTCACAGTGGAAAGAGAATTGGTTATTCATTCCAAAATTATATTCATCTGGATTTGCATAAAAGTTATGTTATGAGTACCTGTAATATTGTTTAGTATAAACAGGCAAATTCTGCTGACAAAATATAGTTTTTCAGGAAACATTTTGCCAACAAAACCTAGAAATGCTTTAAACTAACTGAATAAATTCAAGATTTAAGTTTAACTTCAGAGTTGGAAGCAAATAATGCTCTGCAGATCCATACCAAATTTGAATTAGAAAAGAGGTAAGCCCAGATATTAATCTAAATTTGCAAAAATCAGAATATATTCTATCAAATTTCAGTATACAGTCTTAAATATGCTGAGGTCTATGAACTGTAGAGAACAATATAACTTTGTGATATTGATGAAATTTTGCATTTTATATATTTGATTTTAAGTCCACCTTTATTATTTTATAAGTCATTCAAGGCAGTGAACATGCATAATGTTCCTTTCTCCTCCTATTTTCCCCACAGCAACAATCCCGTGAGACGAATTGGGCTGAGAAAGAGTGACTGGCCCAAAATCACCCAACTAGTTTCATACTTACGCCAGAACTCGAACTCACATCTCTCATTTCTAGGTCAGCAAGTTAATTTCAGTGGGAAATGTAAGCAATGCTTACATTTAAGGTACTCTGAATGTGTCTTGAGCATTGCAAAATGCCCCTTTTCAAAGCCCTGTATCGTATTGTTATGAAAAAAACCAGTTGGACCTATCAACTTTTCTACAACTTACAACAATTGCATATTGACATGGTTAATTGCCTTTACTTACAGCTTACTCGACTTGAAGCAGATGATGAGTCCTGAGCTACTTGCTTCCTGGCAATTGTCCTGCTGATGGATTTTCGAATTGTGCTTTTTCTTTTATTGCTCAGTGAGTATTTTTCCACCAGTGAGATCCTTGGAGTTTTGTGTGGTCTACTTAGACGACGATGGCCTGACAAAGACCCTGCGGAGGCAGCAGAACTTTCTTTCAGGCCTTGGGAGAGTTCTCCTTCTGGATCCAAATTATTATTAAGTAATTCTTGGGGTGGAATCTCTTCTCCGGATGTGTGCTTCCCATTTAAAGATTCTTTTAGAGTGGGTATACTTGGTAATCTTGATGCATTCCCATTTTTTTCTGCCTTTATTGGATCAGCGATGTTCGGAACTAGCATTGCAGGACTGTCTAACATAATGGGAATCTCAGTGACCCTTGAACTATCAGCTAAATGGTCATCTGAATGCGCAATAAAAATTTCAGGGATTCCATTCATGCCCTCATTCCTTTTTTCCTGTATTTCACCAATTTTACAGCAGCCAGTACCAAGTGGTTCCCCTACTGGACCCATAGCTATCCTGTCAGACTGTACTTTTGAAGTTCCCTTAGAAGAGTTCGTCATAATATCTGGCAAAGATATTGCATCTCCCACATTGAGGCTATTCAGTACTCTTCTTGGAGAAACCTTCTGAAAAGATTCAGTCTTTAAACTGCCATGTCCTTTAGATAATCTTAAAAAACAAACAAATGGTTAATTCAAAAATTAAAACAATTTCAATAAAATTGTTCTGGTAGAAATTAAAATAACTCTCTATATTTCCTACATCACTATGTATTTACTAGATTGACTAGGCACCTAATAAAATATAGAGCAATGTTTCTCAACTTTGGCAACTTTAAGATACGTGGACTTCAACTCCCAGAATTCCCCAGCCACATATCTAAGTATTCATATCTTAAAATTGGTATAGAAGCTACTAGATGCAGTTAGACAAATGCATCAGCACATAAATGTGTCTTAAAAATACAAAATTGCTAGGCAGAATAATTAAATTACTGCATACTTATTTGGGAGGAAATTTCCTTGAAAATAATTAAAATGTAAGGAACTTTTACTTTTGCGTTCAAATATATTGCAATCATTTCATTTTCATCAGAAAAGGGTAAAGGATAATACTTTGACTTTAAATAAAATTCATGGACTGGCATATAATAAATTGAGTAGTTTGCAGGGAAATTCAACAAGTATGAAAAAGGAAACTTTTGCAGAGAGGTTTTTAGGAGATGAAAATATAATGTCTATATGAAGCACTATAATTTATATATGAAGTTTTGTAATAACATAACAAGCTTTTACAATAATATCTATTGAAAGTAAACAATATGGAGACACTAATGCATTTCCTGTATCTCCAATTGTGAGACATCTGGGTCTAACATTAATAAAGTTATGCCAAGATTTGTAAAAATTATCAAAACATTTAATTGAATCATGTCAACAGTTAAAGAACTAAAAGAAGAAGCAAGTTATTTGCTTTAGAAATCAAAAAACATTATTTTGGGTAGACCAAGTTATTTATTTTAGAGGGCCATGAACATCAACATTAATGATATTAAATATTTTTTCACTGGTGACTCTATCCACCATGCTTATTTTTTTAGGCAAAATGGAGTTATTTTAACAACGTTCTAATGAGTTTTCTTTAGTTAGCAATGAGCATAGAATACTCCATCAACAGCTGTCTAACCATGTTGATTTCATCTAAGTCTATCAGTGTACATAAATGCCCTTTGAAATCAATCAATATGGAAAAACAGGATTAAAGACTTAATTGAAAAATAAAAAGGGAAGTGCATGTGCATTATGGTAATAGGAAGATATTACTAGCAAACAGAAGAACATGATCTTGATGAAATCTGAAAGCTGTATTAATTTATTAATCTATATTACCAGATAAACATCAAAAATCCATACAACCTGAGATCTTTGGGTACAAATCCAAATTAAAAAGCTTAAATGTTTTTTCTACCTTTTTCTAATTAGTTCTTTATTTTCATCCTTAAACAATGAAGACCGCTTCTTTTTCCGATACTTCTTCTGAGATGGTGTTTTGGGCATCAGTTCAGGTTCGGTACTAAAGTTGTTACTGGTCCAAAATAATAATTAAAAAAACCTATAGATCTCAATAATTTCAATTAACAGCAATACAGAGAAGTCTGTATCTTGCTTTCATGACCCATGCTGAAATGTAACTTACTATATTCTTGATATTATCTGACCAACATATTTGATAACCAAGGAATTCATTAACTCAGGATAATTAATAAACTCCTCCCAATTAATCAGACTTTATTTGAAAGAGGATGGACAAAGGAAGTACAGTACAGGTAGTCTTACGACCGCAACTGAACCCAAAATTTCTCCTGTTAAGTGAGACATTTGCTAAGTGAGTTTTGCCCCATTTTTCAACCTTTCTTGCTGCAGTTATTAAGTAGAATCACTGCAGTCGATAAGCTAGTAACACTGTTGTTAGGTGAATCTGGCTTCCCCATTGACTTTGCTTGTGAGAAGGTTACAAAAGCTGATCACATGACCCACATGACCCCAGGACATTGCAACCATCATAAGTAGGAGTCAAGCATCTGAATTGTGATCACATGATCATGGGGACCATTTTTCACACAACTGTTCCTGTATCCCCATGGTCACGTGCAGTAGTGGGATTCAAATATGTAAACAATGGGTTCTCTGTGTGGATGCCGCTTCCAGAAGTCCATTCTGGGCCTGGGGAACAAAAAATTAGCTACCGGTTCTGCCAAACTGATGCAAACTGGCTGAATCCCACCACTGGTCACGTGATCAAAATTCAGACACTTGGCAATTGACTCCTATATATGACAATTGCAGTGTCCCAAGGACATGTGATCACCTTCTGACAAATAAAGTAAATGGGGAAGCTAGATTCACTTAACACTTGTGTTACTAACTTAACAACTGCAGTGATTCTTTTAACAACTGTAGCAAGAAAGGTTGTAAAAAAGGCAAAACTCACTTAACAGAAATTTTGGGTCAGTTGTAGTCGTAAATTGAGGACTACCTGTAGTAGATATGCTGCTCTCTGCTAGAGATTTTCAAACGTTTTCAGGTTGCAGAACTTGCTGGTAAGAAATAAATACCTAAATCACTGACCAACAGACAAAGCTCTAATGACAGAAATGTAGCTGGGTTGGAGAAATTTATTACTATTTTTATTATTACTACTATTGCTATTATTACTATTATTATTTTGCTTTTACTCACTCTCAGAACTTCCTCCTGTTTTCCTGGAACCCTAGGATTCCATAAGTCAGTTTTAAAAAAAATCCCATCCTAGGCAATAAACTTTGCTGTGAAAATATGATCCCAAATCAATTTACACCCTTGGGAGTAAAAACCCAACCCTCTTTCCATTCTGCAAAATTCAAGATTCTATACCTATCAAATATCTTCATGGCTTCTTCCTCAATTTCTCTCAACCACACCAAGCACTTATGCTCAGCATTGAACAAGAATTCTGAGAATTTTTGATTGCAAACATCTAGAAGATGAATGGGTTGTCTTGCTTCAGCCATGATGCTGCATAAAAGAAGAGAAAAGAAGATGTTAATCAATTAGACATACACTGAATTGGCTCCAACAAAATAGAAAAACATCTAAACTACTCAGATGGGAAAAGAAACGACATTCCCTCATTCATACAACAGGTTTGTTGTGAGGGCATATTATTATACAAGAGAATGTTAAAGAAATATTTTGTTTTCAGAGGGGGAAGTCAGTTGTGCCGTTACACAGCTACACTCTCAGATTTTTAGTGAAGAAGTGAAATATGATTTTGTTTATCTTGATTTTATTTCTACAGTAAATAAGTAACTAAGTAATAATACTACAATTTTTCTCTAGCAGAGCACAAGTGAATAGTGTCACCATTTTCAAGAAGCCCACAATCACACTTACAGATAACCATCCCCAGAAGACTTAATTAAATTCTAGTTAGTTGTTTGGGGGGAGGGATGTTCATTTTCTTGATAATTTCTCGCTTATCTGAAAAATTAACAAAAAGAACTACAGAGGAACCAAATGCAGAGCCAAGTAAAAAGTAACTAATGTATCCTACAAACTAAAAAAACACTTTTTTCTCCTTCCATCTATAAATAAATACTATTTTCCCCTTTCCATTAATAACAATAAAGGCAGTTTTCAGATAACAAAAAAGAGGCAATTCCTCCGCAAGAGACAGCACGCATACCCCACTTGAACAACAGCAAACACCTGAGCCTAACACATAAGGCGCCTCGGGCGAAATGTGAGCTTGCGCGCGTTGCGCCGCTGCAAACCATCTCCGGCAGCGTCGTATCTCCGGATGCTCCCTTGGATTTATTTTTTTTCATTTTTTTTTTCTAAATTAAAGCGCCCCGACTAGCTCCGCTCTCTTGCACGTTTAAACCCAAGGGCGGAAAGGGAGAAGAGTCACTGAATTAGTCTGTCAGGCTGCAATCGCAGAGGAGCGGGGAGGGGATCGCGGCTTCGTGTCAGATGCCTTGGAGGGCTTTGAAGTCCGGTCAAAGCAACGACTGGCCTCGGGAGAGAAAGGAAAAGCCACAAACGTTAAAAAATCTGCCCTGGAAAGAAGTTGCAACTGGCGACCATACTCTAGAGCAGGGGCTCTTCAAACTTGGCCCTTTTATGACTTGTGGACTTCAACTCCCAGAATTCCTCAGCCAGGTACGCTGGCTAAGGAATTCTGGCAGTTGAAGTCCACAAGTCATAAAAGGGCCAAGTTTGAAGACCCCTGCTCTAGACGCAGGGGCGTCAAACTTGCCGCGTCACGTTGCCGGAGCTGGGGTGGGCGCGGCCTCCGTATGATGCAACCGGCCCACGGGCCGGCAGTTTGACACCCCTAGACTAGAGCGTCTTTAGGAAGCTGCTGCTGATACCTTTGGAGCCGTTGCTCTTCCTCGTCACATAACAAGAGAAGGTGCACTTCGCTTGCTTTTGCTGGGTTCCTGTTTTCGCTCGCTCCCCGGTCCCTTCTGGGAAAGGCAGCTTTTCTTGCCTTTTCTCTGCGCACTTTCTCAATTAGGTGGGGAAACTGCGGACTTATTTTGAGAAGGGAGTTGCCGCTCCTTCTAGACCAGGGGTTCTCAACCTTGGCAACTTTAAGACTTGTGGACTTCAACTCCCAGAATTCCTCAGCCAGCTTTGCTGGCTGAGGAATTCTGGGAGTTGAAGTCCACAAGTCTTAAAGTTGCCAAGGTTGAGAACCCCTATTCTAGATTCATTAAATGGTTTCTCTTGGGCTGAACTATGGTTTGAAAAGCAAAGTATGGATGGGGGTATTTATTGTAAGGGTCGCGGCAGCAGTAAGTAGGTGGTCATGGCTGATCTCTAAAAGATAACCTGGGGCCTGATATAGTTGGAGCTTGGTGGGAGGTCCCCAGAAAAATTCCTGGACTATAGGATAGAATTAGATAGATTTGTAGTGGAAAGCAGGGACAAGCCACTTCCCCACTGTTGCCAAGGGAGCCTCCAGAAAGTCAACAGAAGTTGAACTCAACTTGCAATACAGGTAGTCCTCAACTTGTGACCACAATTGAGCCCAAAATTTCTGTTGCTAAGTGAGATGGGGGTTAAGTGAGTTTTGCCCTCTTTTGTGACCTTTCGTGCCATAGCTGTGATTCTCTGCAGTTGTTAGTAACACTGTTGTTAAGTGAACCTGGCCTCCCCGTTGACTTTGCTTGTCAGAAGGGTGCAAAGGATGAACACATGACCCCAGACACTGCAGTCGTAATAAATACAAGGTAGTTGCCAAGCATCCGAATTTTGTTCATGTGACCATGGGAATGCTGCAACCTTGGCACTAAACAAATGGTTGTACGTCAAGGACTTCCTGTAATTTTCTCTTGTGAATCGTCCTCCTGTTGAGGAGAATGAAGAGTGAAGAGTCAAAGCAAGGACATGGTGGGAAGTGGGTGAAACCCCACACATAAAACACACATTTCCTGGAAAAACTGACATGGCCATAAGAACCCAGTTGCAATCATGGTGAGGGAGAGAGAACTTGTGGACACTTTGCAGAGTGATTCCAGCAGCACTATACACTAGGACAGGGTAGGCAACCTTGGCTCTTTTATGACTCATAGACTTCAACTCCCAGAATCCTGAGCCAGCATGGCTGGCTCAGGAATTCTGGGAGTTGAAGTCCACGAGTCATAAAAGAGCCAAGGTTGCCTACCCCTGCACTAGGTAAACATACTTTAGAAGTAGTTCCCATTGTGTTCAAAATTGGTATCTATTGGATAGCACTTCCTCCGACTCATTGTGCAAATGTTTTAATATTTCTGCCTTTGCCTTTTCTGTTTCTTAATTAGAAATGACATTTTTAAATCAGTCTATTAAAATATTTCTTCACCTTTTGATTTCTGCATTATCAGCTACAGCCATGTCACGCACATTGTATATATAACCAGAAATCTGATAGTAGTTCCTTTTTGGACTAACAGATATTACTTTTTTTCACGAAAAGCGTTTGCCTTTTTATAAGATTTATTAGTCGGAAAAGATGCTACAAGAGTCTTGATATTTTTTTTGCTACTGTGGGCTAACAAACTAAATGTTGCCAAGAAAACTGTAGGAATTAATCCAGGCAATCGCCAGGAGTCAACGCTGACTCGGAGGCATGCACACGACTTTCCTGCAACGATTTTATACTGTAATTAATGAGATTACATTGGCCACGCGTTCGCACTTTTTCCTCTGCGTCCAGCAGGCGCCCTCCTAGCTCCTTTTCCTCCAGCTGTCGGAAGCCTCTCCCCCGGAACTGCGCGGATCTGCCGCTGCGGCTTTCTTCTTTCCCTCACTCAGCCAATAGCAATCCTCACCTTTAAAAATTCCGCTTCTGATTGGACTTCTGGAAGTGTGACGCTCTTTGAAATTTGTAGCGGGCGCCGCAACTGTGGCTGTTGTTGCCGATGTTCCTGCCGCGCGTTGCTTGAAGAAAGGCTGGCGGTTCGCTCGGATCTGTGCCGGGTCCGGAGGAAACGGGTTGTCCCTCCGCGGGAGCGGTGAGTGAGTGAGTAAGCGAGCTTTAATGAGAGTAGGAGGATCGATGTCTAGCTGCTTGATCGCCAGACGGCGCGGGGCCAGTGGTGGGTTTTACAGCCTTAGAGGCTTCATTTTGCTCTCGGTGGATTCAGTGGCAAGCAACGGTCAATATGGAGTGCGGTTCTCACTATTCCTTCCCAACATGGATTTGGTTAGGAATTATACTTGCATGTTGCTCTGCATCGTAAATTCTTAAAAGCTACGCGACCGGCTATTGGACCCCATCCTGAATTGCAGATATAAGGTATAACCAAAGTTGAACCAAGTTTGCATGTGCTAATGTAGCTAGATCTAGGTACAGTTTCCGTACTGTTGTTATTCCACCCTAAATTTCTTCGTTCCAAATGATCTGTAACGTGGAAAAGAATATGGTACCTGCTTTTGATGCGGACATTAGCCCTGAAGGATGTTTTGATGGATTCAGTTTTTGGCAAGATTGTTTTGTCAAGATGGTCATCTTGCAAACACCACAATATTATTTTTAAAATTTCAGCTCCCAATAATTAAGTCATATTGTGCTTCATTAAGGCCACTTGATCAACTAGTAGTTGCTGAAACCCCAAATCTGTGTTTTAAATATTGTATTGCAAAAGTTGATTTGTACTGTTTTTGAAGGCCGTGGCCAGGCTTCTCGTTGATAATCTGTTCCGACTTGAGCTGTTTGTAGTATTTTAAATGGCATTATGCTCTGGGGTTTGGTTTATACACCAAGAAACAGGAAGTGATTTGTAATATACAGCAAATGCCACATTGTGTAAGTAAATGGTTAATGTCTTGTAAACCAATTTTTGCAGCAAGATTAAATAATGAGTTACAGCAGATTTTCAAGTTTCAGGTTGACTTGTATTCTTGGGGGTTACAATCAACTTAGAAAGGTGGTGGGGACACTTGGGAAAAAGTCCATGTGCACCAAGAGGAAGCACTGTAAAAGTTTATTCTGGAAAACAGAATATTTGTTTTTTGGCCAACCATAACATCAATGAAAATAATAGTTTTATTTCTTGGGGAGGCACCCAACTTGTTTTAACATTTTAAGAAGTTCCAATTCCACAGCATTTGAAAACCAGAATAAATTATATATTTTATAGTAAATATTAATCTTAAATATTAATATAAAATAAACCAGAATAAATTATATATTTTATAGTAAATATTAATCTTAAATATTAATATAAAATTACAGTGGTACCTTAGTACTCAATTGCTTTGAAACTCATCAAATTTGGTACTCAGTACATATTGACATGGAAATTTTGTTCTGATATTCATTTTTTGTTTGGTACTCAATGCACAAGCTTGAACTTGTTGTCAAGCTAGAACTTGTTGCTCTCTGCTGCCTTGTGACTCATTACATTATTCCTTATGGGAAATTTTTTTGGTACACATTGTTTTTAGTACTCCTGAAATGAATTAAGAATGTGTACCAAGGTACCACTATACATTTAAAATTGATGAATGTATTTGTAGAAAGATTTTGATTTTAAAGCTTGGATGTTTCTGGGGGGAAAATATCAAAGATGATTAAATATTTTAGAATTATTAGGATTAATTTAAGTATTTATATGGCTGCTTAACTAAGACTATGGATTCTGGATAGTGAACACAAGGGAAACAAAGAATAGAACATAATTAACCAAAATAAGACCATAAGAAAGGCTGAGCGCCAAAGAATTGAGGCCTTTGAACTATGGTGCTGGAGAAGACTCCTGCAAGTCCCTTGGACTGCAAGGCGTTCAAACCGGTCAGTCCTAGAAGAGATCAACCCCGACTGCTCTTTAGAAGGCCAGATCCTGAAGCTGAAACTCAAATACTTTGGCCACCTAATGAGAAGGAAGGACTCATTGGAGAAGGGCCTAATGCTGGGAAAGATTGAGGGCAATAGAAGAAGGGGACCACAGAGAATGAGGTGGCTGGATGGAGTCACTGAAGCAGTAGACGTGAGCTTAAATCAGGGGTGTCAAACTTAATTTCATTGAGGGCCACATCAGCATTGCAGTTGCCGTCAAGCCGGGTGGATGTGGCCTGGGTGGGCGTGGATGTAGTGGGTGTGGCCTATTGGGTGGGCGTGGCCAGCTCTACATCGTTCATGTCAAGGGTGCCTGTGGGGGACTGGGCAGGAGTGGGACATATCTGAGGGTCTCTGGCAGAAGGGGGTGGGACCGGGGCAAGCGCCAAGGCATGGTCCATTTCTTCATTCCTTACAAAGGGTGAGGCCTCCCCAGCATGCACCCAGGGGGCAGGGCCAACGCGGCAGGGGCTGGTTCCTTGCTGTATTGAGATGGCCTTGTGGAGGTAAGACTGAATGCGTTTCAGCATAGATGGCCACCACAAAATTGTACATTGGCTCCTGGCCAGCCAAGGCAGCAGGGGCCGTTCCCTCACTGTTTCCAGGATGGCTTCGTGGGCCACATGAAACTACTTCGCGGGCTGCATCTGGCCCCCAGGCTTTGTGTTTGACATGTCTGGCTTAAATGGACTCCAGAAGATGGTAGAGGACAGGAAGGTCTGGAGGAACGTTATCCATGGGGTCGCGATGGGTCAGACACGACTTCGCAATTAACAACAACAACAAACCAAAATAACACAAGCCATTCAATGCTACTGAACAATAACATGATGACAATAATTATAAGATTATATGGAGTTTGAGAAAAGATTACTTTTTGCAGCTGTACATTTAATGCAATTTACAGCATATTAAAATGGCGATCTTGCTTTTCTGTGACTTTATCCAGCAGTTGTTATTCTTTGCAGGCTAAACCATGTTGAATATGCTGAACCCTGTGGCACTGGAAGAGGAGACAAATAAAAAGCTCACAGAATTTATCCAGAATGTTCGTAATAGAGATTTTGTATGGATGGATGAGATTCTTGAAGAGGCTATCAAGATGTTTAAGAGGTAAGAATTAACAAATTGCTAGAAATAGTACTAAAAATTTGTGTTTTTTTCTATCTATACATTCAAACATCCCGGAAACTCTTTAGTCTTAAATTCTTAATGTAAATCTTTATAAACAATAGACGAGAAAGATTAAATACAGGAAATGATTTTATCTATATTCAGTTTAAATAAGTCGATTTGATCCTGGCCTTTTGTCCTAGCTCCTAGTTATTGTATTTGGTCCTTCTAATTTTCAAAAGAGGTACTAACACTCCAAATCACCATCAACCAGCAGCCTTCATGAAAATGGATTTCCAAATGGATCCGATTTTTCAACCATTATAGTATGAATTGGTGTGTTTTTTAAAGAAAAAAGAAAGAAAATGACCAGTCCTCTCGTGTTGAACAAAACTGTGAATCTGAACAATTAAATTAGTGGTCAGCAAATATCCTAGGAAAAATTGACAGAATTTTTAATAAAGGCACTTGTCAAATATGTTAAATTGTTATTTCTTTTGTATTAAAGTAATAGCTTTGATGGAGAACCAGAGCTGATGCCAAAAACCCCATCTCAGAGAAATCGTGGTAGAAAGAAATGTCTCTCTTCTATTAAGAATGATCAGTTTGCCACAAGAAGGTAGGATTTCTGTTTCATGTTTAAATGTATGCAAATATTTGGGTTATAGTACAATTCCAACTGATATTTGGATCCAAGCTACTTGAGGAAATGTCTCACCCTGATGTTTTAATGTTTTTTTTTTATGTTTTTATGTTGTGAGCCCTGCAGAGTTGTTGGACATGAGATGGATGGAAAATAAATTGTATAATAAATAATTGTGGAAAATGTTAGGCTTAGGAGTACCTAGAATGAACTGAATAAGTTTGTCGTTTGGGAATGGTTTACTAACTCTATAAACTAAAGTACAAAACCATTTTTCATGGGAGAAATTATGGTTTACAAGACATAGACACAGTGCCTACAGTGTCTTTGTACATAAGTATATTATGATCTCATAATTAATAGACTCAATCCTCTCGAATCCCTCTCCTGTCAGATCCTAGGATGTGCTGTCCAGTTGGATGGTAGGAACTGGAGTAGAATCTTGGTGTATCTGTAGAAATCCCCATAGATAGAAACTTATTGTTGATGGACCGTTCTGAATATTTAGCATAATGGTATTTTAGATGAGATCTATGATCCACTGAGTTGAAGTCTCTCTGCTACTTGTGAGTTTTCAAGATTGGAATCTGCTTACTATAACCTTGGACTGGCACAGGTTTCCCCCCCCCCCATGCCTTTCATTGAATTCAGTTGTAACCAGTTTTAAAGACCCTTGTCTGATGTACTAAAAGAACTGTGGTGTGTTTTGGCTTGCATGAGCCAGAAGATCTTTGGAAGATCCAGCATTTTGTTTCTTTATCCCTATCGTCTTTAAAAATCTTGCAGAGCAACCACTCCTTTATTTTGATCACAAAGTTGTTTTTTTTTTATGTGAACATAGTGAGACAGTGAAGATACTTTAAATTATATGGATTATAGACTCATAATGAAATGAGTTCATGTATCATAGGAACAATAAGCCAAATAGATATAATGCTTGGGGATATGAAACAACTTGCCACAACCTCTGAAGACAGATTTAGCAAACTTGTGCAAGGAATTTAGTTTGTGTTCTTGTGTGTCTGTATTTTCTTTTGTTTGTAAGGAGCTTGAAACTCTATGCACTCCCACATTAGTACAAAAATATGTGCAGTATTTCTATAGTGTAGAAAAGGAAAAACTTGAGAAGATGGCATAGCTACTTAAGCAAGATAACCGGCATACAAGTCTAATAAATAAATAGCACAACTCGTGTGTCCTTACCGTTCTGTTTCAATTATATGGAATTGTTTCTTGAATATCAATGGATTAAAACCTGCAAAATAAGGTAATTGAAGGCTGCATTCATTTTTTTTAATGAAAGCATATGAAATACAATGGCGCTAATGAGCAAGAATTGCTGTATATAGAGTAATAGCTTATTATTGGATATTTTCAGATGCAGTCATTTGGAGGAAACCTGAACTGATTCTAGGGAACTTAACATTCACAGAGGGGCCATTCCCGCGCCATTCCCGCGACCAGGTGGCCAACAAGCCACAGATTGGTACTGGGCCATGGCCCACAGGTTGGAGACCCCTGCTATAGGCAACAGATTTTAAAAGTAGTGTGCATTGGACAAAGGGCCATTTCAAAATGATGCTCCAAATTTGGTTCAGTTGTGTGCTATTTGGGTAGAGTTGTCCTGCTGACGACAGAAAGATGGCCAGAGTACCAAGACTCTACATAATTTTGTCCAGCATACAGTATTTGGATTTTTAGTGCTACCAGATATGGGCTGCAAAAATATGGATCATCACTTAGATGGAAACAAAGACACACAGAAAATATTTAGCCTCATCTGGGTGTTTGCAGTTTTAATTACTTGATTGTATGTGTTGGCTACATTGTTAAGGACTTCAGAGTCTATGATAATTTGATATTAGGTAACATTAAATAGGACTGGGTGAATCTTGGAAAGAGTGATCAGCTGACAAATAATTGAAAATTTCTTCAAAATATTGGGAATGCTTCTGAAGACAACTTGGAAACTGCAAATGTCACACAGTGCTGGTGCTAGATTACCAATCAAAGATATTTCAAAATTAATGCCATCTTGAGGTTGTTACATTGATTACCAGGCTTCAGTACTCCATTCAGAATGCTGGTTGTCACTTAGAGAGCCCTATATGGCATGGTATTCAGATATAGCAGGGAGTGCCTTATGAAATATGAGTATCTGACAAGAAGATTTTGTAAGGATTTTATCCTCATGTGAAATCTGGAGTAGAAAATAGGTATTTTTGGTAGTAGTCTTTACATTATGGAAGACAACATGTTTGGATCCTGCTCTCTTGTTCAGAAAGATTCTTAAACCTTTTAGTGTACCCTTCATGCCCAGATGATTTGCCGTTATTTTCATTATTTATTATAACATTGATTAGGTAGAGTCTGCCTATTAAGGGTCTTGGGATAAAATTGTCCTAAATGGCTTTTATATTTATGATGCGATTAATTTCTTTAGAGTTTTCTGCTCAGTAGTGATTTTGAGAAAATGTTTTAAAGATTGGCTTTATATTTATTTCTTTAGTTGTATTCCATCCAAGATCACTCTTTCAGATCAAAAATCAGCAAAATGTTTAGTCTAGTTCATTTTGTGCCTCCTCCCAATTGCTTTTATTGTGTGCAAAAATAAGTGGAGACTTGTTCTGCCTCACTCGTAATAAGTGCTAATTTTGACATTGTGCACTTGACAATATGTTTCTTTTACCAGATCATCTAAAAGAAGCAATGCCCGGATGAGGGCTTCAAAGAGGATTTCCCAAAATGCTCAGCACAAAAAAGAATTAGAAATTCAGAAAGCTGAACTAGAGAACACCTCTCCTTGTGTACGTGTAACTAGATCACAGGCTGCCAAGTTTTCCATGCCTCTCTCAATTGCTGCTGTTAAGAATCCAGTTATCGATTTAGCCAAAGGGAGGATACCACTGGTAGAAATTAGTGGCAATGAGAGGCGCACTGCAGAATTGCAGATAGAAAAAACGCCACCCCAAATAGCAAAGGTTGCCTTAAGCCATACTTTGTCTTCTTCACCTGTTAAGAGATCAAAAACCTTGTCTGAAACATCTGTGGTCATAATCCAAGACACTCCTGAGGAAAAAATAAGAAAAGAGGCTGGACGGGCAGCATGTAAGTTGAAGATAGCAAATGTCTCTCTCTCCAAAACTATTGAAAATGAAGAGCCCAGGGCTGAAAAATTATGTCCACAGCAACAGGAAGATAAGCCGCTATCTGAACCCAAAGCCATGTTGAACTTAAATAAAGTTCCACAAACACCTGCTGTCCCTAAAGGAAGCCGTCGCTCTGTGCGCCGAAGCCTGATGGGCAGAGCCTCCACAAGCTCCAGGGCCTCTCTGGCCAAGAGATATTCGCTAAGCACGAAAAGGGAACAAATCGTCTTGAGACGCAGTAGCAGGACTGCGTCCAAACAAGAATCTATCCAGCAGTCATCTGTGCATAGGCATGTAAACAGTAAGTGGTTTTTTTTTTCTTTTCAATTTTATAACTTTCTTGGCCATCATTCCAAGCGTGGTGCTTTCAGTGGACATAATTCAAAATAAATTTCCCTACCATACTATGAAAACACTGTACTTTTAAAGAAGTTCAATTTTTTTTAAAAAAAGAAATCGTACGCAGTTTTAGATTAGATACAAATCAGTTTGGGGTAGTGGTTAAGGTATTAGGCTAGAAACTAGGAGACTGTGAGTTCTAGTCCCACCTGAGCTGGGTGTATGGGGTCAGTCACACTCTCAGCCCTAGGAAGCAGGCAATGGCAAGGCAGTTCTGAAATTTTGCCATGGAAACTGCAGGAACTAGTCCAAGCAGTTACCTAGAATCGAGGCTGTCGAAGGCACATTTCCCCCTCCCCCACCGCAAATTAGATATAGTTATACTTTTAAGAGTGAAAGTGTTTAATGCCGCATGGTTTATTTAAAGTCTAAAGTGTTTTCAAAGCTCTCCTAAAGTGTCCCTAGGTGGAACTGATTTAATCAGATTGGGGCTACCACAAAGAGAAGTCCCTCATTCTGATACCTTTCTGCCTTACTGACCTTCATGGGTGCCTAGTAAGTGAGCACTCTGAACATTTCTTGTTTTTTAAAAATGTTTTTAATAATAATGATAATTGTTAAGTATTTATTATCTTTTTGTATGCTACCAGAGTCACATGTTTGTGAGATGGATACCTATATACGCTGTTGTGCACAATTATTAGGCAAGTGAGTATTTTGACCATACCATCATTTTCATGCATAGTTTGCACTTCCAAGCTGTACAAACTGGAATGCTTACTGGGTATAAGCATATCAGGTGATGTGTATTTGTGTAATGAGGGAGGGTGTGGCCTAAGGAGATCAACACCCTATATCAAGGTGTGGATAATTATTAGGCAGCTTTTTTTTTGGTCAGGCAAAATGGGCCAAAAAAGAGATTTAATTTACTCTAAAAAGTCAATTCCTCTGAAAAACCTTTTACAATTTTTGACCTTTCAGAGTCCGTTAAATCTCTTTTTTGGCCCATTTTGCCTGACGAAAATAAGCTGCCTAATAGTTATGCACACCTTCATCTAGGATGTTGATCTCCTTAGGCCACACCTTCCTTCATTACACAAATACACATCACATGATAGGCTTATATCTACTAAGCCAGCGGTCCACAACCTTTTGAGCACCAGGGACAGTGGAGAGGTTTTTCCATGGACTGGAGGAGGCGTGGTTTTGTGTGTTGTCTGTATCCCATGGATGGGACTTCACTTGTTTGCACGGCCCGGTTTCTGGTATGCCGCGGACCAATGCCAATCCACAGACCAGGGGTTGGGAACCCCTGCATTAAGCCTTCAAGTTTATGCAGCTTGGAGGTGAACAATATGCATGAAAATGATGATATGGTCAAAATACTCAGTTGCCTAATAATTGTGCACATAGTGTATATTGGACAAGTAAATAAAAGCACAGCTGAGTTAGAGTAATACAGCTGTAGCAGGTATTCTCAATGGAGAGGCATCTTAATGAGAGAAAGTTTATTCTTATAAACTACTTTTCTTTTAATATACAGATAGTCCTCAACTTACGACCACAATTGGGACTGGAATTTCTATCATAAGTCATTGTGGTCATAAATCAAGTCTGACCCAATTTTAGGACAATTTTTACAACAGTTGAAAAGTGAATTATAAGGTTAAGCGAATCCAGATTCTCAAATGGGTGGATTTTTTTTTTTTTTTGCTGGAAAGCAGCAAAACAAAAGGTTGCAAATTGTGATCATATGGCTACATAATACTGCAACCAGTGTGAATATGAGCCAGATGCCAAGTATCTGAATTGTGATCATGTAATAGTGAGGCTGGTGCGATGGTTGTAATTGCAAGTAATTTTCTCCAAGGCCGTCATAATTTTGAACCATTGTTAAATGGTTGTAAGTCAAGGGCCACTTTTAAAGTTGATCCTTAAAAAATATTGACAAAACTTAAACTTAAAAAAGCCAATAAAAGAATATTGTAACAAATGAAAGAACATTGATAATGGGAATTAAAGTTCACTCAATAGACAGAACTCAAATTTCTGGTTTGTGAAAATAACATCTAGATCAGGCATGTCAAACTGCCAGCCTGTGGGCCGGATGCGTCATCCTAAAACTGCGCCCACCCCATTGCCGTTAATGGAGAAAAAGCTCTGATATGTCGCACGATGTCAAGTGACGTCGTGAGTTTGACATGCCTGATCTAAATAGTCTAAAGTTTCTTGAACAAGTTTCATGTGCTTCAAACCCAGATTAATTCAGTTATCTTTTGACCCGGGTGCTGTTAAAAGTGCAATAGAAAAAAGATTTATTTGTAGTTATTGTGTTTGATTGTAATGATCTATAGCTTATGTTGGGCCTAAAATGTTATTTGTATTTTCAGCTGAGGTAATTATGGAAACACTTCAGGATAAAGAAAGTACTGAATCCAGGTGAGCTTATTTCAGTCAAACAGGTTTTGTGAAAGTAATAAATTCTTGACTTAAGACAGCTACTGTAGTTTAATGTGGAATGTCTTTGGTGAGCAGTTAATTTTATTTAATCATTTTGATTCATTTATTATATGGTGTCAAAGAGATACTCTGGCATGAACAAAAGTAAATTAAATACTAGATCAAACAAAAACAAATCACTTCTATTTTCCTTATGTAGAGTGACTAGAAAAAAGGAACAAGACATTTGAATACTGCCTGTGGTAATTAGAGGCTGCTTTTCACACACAGCAGTTTTTCAAATTCTTTCATAAAAGTTTCTTAACTTTCCTACAATAAAATCTACTTATCGAAGTAGATTTTTCTGCATTCCTGTGTGGCAATTTAATTACTCTCCATGAAGCCTGACGTACAGTGATGTATGACCCTACCTATGTCACTTGGGACTGCTTCTGGTTTGGAATCTTAATTCCAAAAACTGCCAATCTCTGAAAAACACAATCTAGATAGAGCAGTGGTTCTCAACTTGTGGGTCGGGACCCCATTTGGGGTCGAACGACCATTTCACGGGGGTCGCCAAACAAGGCTGTCCGCCATTTTTTTCCCATTTTCTTTGGCAACGCCCCTGGCACCCGGTGATGTATAAGTGGTTGGGGGTCACCACAACATGGGGAACTATATTATGGGGTGGCAGCATTAGAAAGGTTGAGAACCACTGAGATAGAGGAAGTTTTCACACAGACTAGAGAGTAACAGAACTCTCTAGAATCTGTGAGCTTTGGGCAGTCTTTATTAAAATCTTTCTATTCAAAACAAATCTGTAGTTAATAAATATTATATTTATCTTTGTGTTCTTTTTTTTTTCTCCCATAGAGCAATATTAGATTCTATGCCTCATTCTCAGGAGGTAAGTTAAAGTAGATGTTTATAAAAGCATGTTGACGTAAGCAGAGCATCCCTTCATAGGGTATTAATTAGCTGATTCCTTTGATAAGAGTGTATAACTACTTCTAACTCTGTGTATGAGTGTTTATATAATCCTGCCAAAGAAGTCTTTTGAATGCGAGGGATTTGCTGTCATTAACAAATGTTGCAAAGGATCTCGTTTGAATGCTTTGCTCGTCCTTCTGTCTTCTGAACTGCATTTTGGAACTTTATCTAGGTAATTTCTAACTGATCAGATTTCATATATATAATAATAATTTTCTGGCCCCAGGATAAATACACATTTGTCATATTACTGGGACTATATAGAGCACATGTTAAATTTCAGGTAGCCAACTATAAATGTATTTTCTTAGTATTTCCAAAGGAAACAATTGCTTCATTGTTAAATGGCAGAAGTTTGACTTTTTTATGGAGATAATTGCTTATTAAATTTATACTCATACAATATATATTCATACAATTTGTGAGCTTGTACTAGGGGATGAGAAAATTTATAAGTAGTTTACTCTTGGCCAAATGTAATACTACCTTATGTAAAGTAACTGACACTATGAAGCAGAGTCTGGTAGGTACTGTAGATGAGCATATAGCTTTTCTGACCAAGCCTTGAACATTTTGGTTCTCAGAAGTAGGAATCTATGAGTGTGCGTTGTAGTATTCATAATTGGTTACATTGATCTAGTAATAAAGAAATAATAAAGTTGTATAATCTCTTATTTGAACTGTCCTGGAGGTAACTGGTACAATAAAAACAACTGTTCCTGTTTGGAGCTTCACATTACTAGAGTTCTTTTACTATTTTTTATTGCTTTAAACCAGTTTGTATTAAAGTGACATGAACATTATATTTGTGACTGTCTATAACTAAAAAGATCTTTATTTATTAATCTTTATTGTCACAAAGATCTTTCAGCCAAGAAGAGATCCTGAAAGAGTATACAAATTACATCTTGGGAGTCTTATGATCCTTGCTACTGTCAGATCATCTGGAAAGCAAATACAACAATTCTGAATCTGCCAAACTTACCTGCAGTGAAAAATTTCTGGCCCACTTCCATGCTTGATATTTTTCAACCAGGCATTGGACTTTGATTTAATTCTATGTATAAAACAGTAATTCTCTGCCATTTAAGCCTCATTGATTTCAGTGGGTGAAATGTAAATTTCAATTCAGTCGGAACCATCTTAAATTTAAATTGAACCATTAAAGCAATATCTCAGTCAACTAATAATTCTATGTGATTTGCTTGGGAAGCAATTCAAAATATGATTACCTTTATTGTAGGTTGATGAAAATCTCAACAAATCTCTTCATTCGAACAAGACTACTGTGCCAGAGACTCCCCAGTCTGAAGAAAAACAGCATAAAGGAGATAGGGAAGGTCAGTAGATTGGCTAAGTAGCAAAAATAGCTAGCTTTGAAGCAAATGGAACATCCTAAGAAATACAAAACCTTAATCATATATATTCAGTACCAATCCAGTTATATAATAGTAATAATTTTAATAAGGGTTTTCTTTCAGGGAAGAGGAGAATCAGCTATCTTCCACTGATGGTCAGATTAGATATATACCCTGCATTTTTGCTCTTTGAAGTAAAGCACCTAATAAAAAATTAAAGCCAAAACAATATCAAAGGCTAATACAAATTAAAATTAGCAATGTCACTCATGCCTTAGTTGCTTTTTCCGGAATACTGCTGCATATTCTATATCATGGGTGTCAAACTCGACATATTGTGACATCGTGATGTTTTTTGCCTTTGCGGAGCTGGGGTGAGTGTGGCTTACACGTGATGCATCCAGCTCATGGGCTGCCAGTTTGACACCCCTGTTCTACATGAAGCGGTACTTGAAGACTACTCAAGCTGTAATTGTTCCAGAATGTAGCTGCATATGCAGTATGCACTGTATCAGTGTATCTCAGAAAACCCATTTCACATTGCTACTATGTCAATTGCACTAGTTACCGTAGGCTTCTGTTTGCAATACAAAATACTGATGGCTGCCTATAATGCCTTTCATGGTGCATCAGCTGGATATTTGCAAGATTGTCTGTTTATAATTATCTTCGCCATCCTTTAAAACTAGAGTTTCTATGGTCCGGGTTGGATCAGTTAAACATTGCTACCTTGCAGGACCCAGGAAGCATGCTTTCTGTGTCTGCCATATAAAACAGCCTTCCCCTTGAAATATGTTTTGCCCTACTGGCCTTTGAGAAGGTCTAGACCAGGAGTCTTCAAACGTGGCCCTTTTATGACTTGTGGATTTCAACTCCCAGAATTCCTCAGCCAGCATAGTGGGATTGCAACAATCCTGGATCATCTAAAATGTTGCTATCTAGTGATCATCTGGATTTTTGCTGCTTAGATAAGTTGAGACCCAGGCCTTGACTTCAGTTCTGATGCCACCCTTGTCACTCAGAATAGCTCCATGGCTAAGCACTCCCCAGGATCTGCCATGCATTGCTTGCTTTCAGGTGATTTTGTCTTTCTGTTAACCAGCTCTGCAACCTACTCAGGGCTGTTCCTGGTCATACAAAATCTTTGTTTTTGAAGTGGCTTTGGTGAATGCTCTTCTGTGACCACTGCAATCTCTGAAATCATGCAAAGTATCCCTCACTCCCCCCCTCACCCTTTCCCTGATTATGGAGGCACCCAAGACCATTTGAGTGCACACCCCATTCTTGTGCAGTCTCCAGAAATCACACAAAAATATGCATGTGTTTGAGAATAGTTGGTGAGTGCTGGTGTCTCATTCAAAACTTTGTGGTATGTCACTTTTTGACAGCATCTCATGGGTTTGCCATCGTTGGTTTAGTTTACACTAAATAGCTTGCATTTTCTATAAAAAGAATTTATACACATAATGAATATTCTGCTTGGACAATTGACTATTTATATGCTGATGAAACAACTTTGCCTCTGCCTAACTTGGCCAAACCCTTGAATGCTCATCCTCTATTTTTCTTTATATGCAGAAGACAGCTCTGAAGTGAGTGATAAGTTACAAGAGCAGCCTCAGAGTGCCCGGTATGTTTCTTTGCCTCTTTTTGACAAAAGCTGTGAAATACTGATCTGGGGAGATAGAGGAAAATAAGAAAGGAATCATCTTTACTTTGCTCTTTGAGTATAGAAGGTAGTCAGGATAAGTAAGGATAGTTGAAAATGCAAAGAATCTGCAAATCTTAATGAAAGCCAAAGAGCAAACTGAAAAAAATGGGATTGAAATTTAAAAAAAGAAGACAAAAGTAATTACGGCAGGTAGAGCAACGAGCCTTAGAATTGACAATGAAGATACTGAAGTAGTGGATAACTTTTCCCTTTCATGATCAACCTTCTGCAGTAAAGGCACAAGCATTCAAGAAATACATTGTAGACTAGCACTTGATAGAGTAGCCATAAAGACTTTGAAAAAGATATTCAAATGCCATATATGTATGTATGTATGTTTTCTGAGGTTTTCGTGGGTGTTTGTATGTAGGTCTTTGGTTATTCGTGTTTTCTCCTGCGTAAAATTGGAAGTGTCTTGCCAACGTTTCGACAAAAGTCTCATTCGTCATCTTCAGGCTGGTGCTTTCAGCTTCGTGCTCCTAGAAGCACGAAGCTGAAAGCACCAGCCTGAAGATGACAAATGAGACTTCGTCGAAACATCACCAAGACACTTCCAATTTTACGCGTGAGAAAACCCGAATAACCAAAGACCTACACACACACGTATGTGTATATGTGTGTGTATGTGTATATATATATCAATACTATAAAGATCAAAATCATACAAGCCATGGTATTCCCTGTGACATTCTATGGAAGTAAAGCTGGACTTCAAAACAAACAGGATAGGAAGAGTATTGACACCTATGGACTTTGGTGCTAGAGAAGACTTCCAAGAATACCATGGACAGCCAAGAAAAACTTGCATCATTGAACAAATCAACCCAGAGTTATCATCTCTCTGGGAAAAGGTTGTAAGGCTAAGAATGGTGGAAGAGGATGACCAGCAGCAAGAAGGATGGATTCAGTTACAGTGGTGATGAGTGCGCCATTGGGACATTTGAAAGGACAAGTTAGAGATAGATTGTCATGAAGAAAAATATCACTGTGGTTGCTAGGAGTCAAAAACAAGTTGATGATAATCAGGATAAGGTTTAAATCTTTGTAGCTAATTACAAGGAACCATGTGATTTAATATCAAAGGCTATATTCCTTCCCAGTTCTTTTGGGTGCTCAGAACAGATGCAATCCTCTTCCCCAAACCTATCCTTTCAAGAATTTTGAAACTTCTCTGCTTTCAGAGCATGGTAATCTTAAGTTCTGTAGGAAAAAAGGTTGTACAGTTTCTTTCTGTTTTCCTTGCCTCTGTTTCTCACAGCACCCCCAGTGAAGTGTGTGTGGTAGCAAACCCACAAAGAATAAAGCTCAGCAGGTCCAAGTCACAGGACAAAAAGGAGTCATTGGTTTCAGGCCAAGCTATTGAGGGAATCCTGCTGCTAGTCTTCCCAGCCATCTGTGCAAATACTAACTAAGAAATGCTCAGCAGAAGCCTCCCACAGAGCATTCCCTCCAGAAATTCAATGGAATCTTCTGCCAGCTTCCTGCCAAAGTAATCCAGTGGTGCCTCTATGTACCCCCTGCCAGAAGTAGGCTGCATGTAACTTCAGATGTCAGTGCTCCACATCTCCCAGTATGCATTACCTTTGCTTAATGCTGATGATAGTATTTAATAAACTCTGCAGGTTATTCTGAGTCCCAGACATATGGAAACTACTCTCAGAAGCCACCAATGGGAGAAAAGAACAATAGATGCAACATTTCCAGATGGCTAAAACCAATGGGGGTTTTTCTTTTCTTTGGAAACATCAAGATAATCTTGGAAGAAAGGAAAAAAATCCCTAGAGCCTTAACATTTAATTTTTCTGTAATATATGGGAGGCAATTACCAATCAGCTGCTAAAGTGATAATAATTTTACAAAGACTGTATCCTTTCCCTATCTGAGATTTTAGGTTAAGGTTTAAATTCAATCTTAAATCCTAAGTAGCTAATCTTGGACTTCTACCTCATTAAATAGTTACCAAGCAGCTATTTTGCCCCAAGTGGTTTAAAAGCCACAGGTTATAAGATTTTGTTTCCCACCTGTATCTGAGATAAGGAGGTGTCAGAGCTGAGTCATGATATCAAACGAGCCTTTTATAATCTTGCAGGAGAAAGCCAAGCTATAAGAGAGCAATTAGGGATAGAGATGATGGACAGCACACAGAAGATGAGCTCTCTCCACCAAGAAAAAAGACTCTATCTCCTCAGTGTCCTGCCAGCAAGGTAAGGCAAGCATTATGCCCCTGAGAGCGCACCCAGGACAAGGAGTTGATTTCTGTGGATTGATAATGTTCTGGGTTTTTCAGGTTGTGCGGCCCTTCAAAACATTCTTGCACACAGTGCAGAAGAACCAAATGCTGATGACTCCTGCCTCTGTAAATCGAAACAGCACAATAAAATCATTCCTCAGGCAGAACACTCCCCTCCGCTTCACTCCCAAGGTAACTTAAAGTACTCTGTATTTAATAGCAAAAAAAAAAAAAAAGGAGAGGAGCTTCTGAATTGATGATAGAAGTTGCCTCTCCTCAAAAGTTGAAAATATCAAAAGGTTCAAGTTCTGGTCTTGTTATTAAGTTTAGCTAAGGACATAGTCTCACATTGCATATATTCTGCTGTTAACTGTTGAGTTTACACAAATGTTCAGTTTGAAAGTCCCTACTTGGAGCTCTTTGGGTTCCAATAGCGGAAAGCTCTGAAGTATTGTATGATTATATTTAGTTGAGTTGAGCTAGTAAAACAGAGCGAAGTTGAAAACCAAGAATGTGAGCAATTGATGAAGGTAACAAGGTTTAAGAAGGACCAGGATAAGCAACTTCTGGATAGGTGAAATTGTGCACTACTGGCACAAGAAAATAGATAGGCAAAGGGGCCAAAAAGACTGAAAGGCAAGCATGGGGTTTGGGAGATGCATTGTTTTGAAATTCTGAGCAATGTCTCTAGATTTAGCTCTTTGTTAAACCTGAAAACTAAATAATTTTGCCTCATGCATCTTAGCCTTTAAGTTCAGTATTCTTCCATATGAGTTTCTGGCAGATAGTTCAGCCCTTTGTTGCTTCTTGGGTTGAATATCCCAGCAGGTTGCTCTTATGTTCTTATGATTCTATTTCAGTCTGAATTAACAAAATGTGTAGTAGGTCAGAATCCTATATGAGACCGTATTTCAGCTGTGGTGGCACAGTGGTTAGAATGCAATATTGCAGACTAATTCTGCTGCTTGCTAATTGCTAGCAGTTCGGCAGTTTAAATCTAACTGGCTCAAGATTGACTCAGCCTTCCAACCTTCGGAGGTCAGTAAAATGAGGACCCAGATTATTGGGGGCAATGTGCTGAGTCTGTAAACAGTTCAGGGAAGGCTTTAAAGCACTGTGAAGCTGTATACAAGTCTAAGTGCTATTGCTATATAGATATTGAAAAGATTTTCTAACACCCAAATATATTTATTAATCATGTCTCAATCTTTTCTTTATACAGGGAGGGTTTGTTGTAAGTAACAAGAATGAACTTACTTACAGTAGGTGCATTTGTGCATAATTAACCCAGTGTGTGTTGCCCAAAGCTGTCCTAACTTGCATAGAGATCTCTTTAACAGAAGCCCAGCATATATTTAGTGTTTTTCAACTAAATTCTAGAAAGTAGATAGTGCATGTAAAGTTATTACTAGAATTGTACTGTTTATTGAGATAGCCTTCAATATTTCAAAATATGATATATTAATCCATCTAATTCATATCTCAGATCCATTTTTGCAAGCTAAGAAAGCGCAACAAAAAGCTATTTTAAGCTACCTTTGGATTACTTCATGTATATTGTTAATAATAGAGTTGCTTTAGTGCATGCAATGTGAAGTATAAATAAAATATAAAATTCACGCTGACATGCTCAGTTGTAACTAGCTGTATGTTTGTATAAGTAAACTTTAGCAACTACCTTGTTTAGTAATTGTCTGCAGTTGCAATGGTGATTTTAAAAAAAGATCAATCCTCACATTTACAACATTGACAGATCTGTAAAGCAAAGGAAAGCTGAAGTAAAAGGGTAAGGAGAGCTGTGGTTTCACTTAGCAAACCCTTTGCCCTATCTGCCTAGTTGTTTCCAAAAACAAAAGGGCTGCCTGCAAGGGAAAGAGTTATCCTCCGAAGGGCAGTGAAAACAGACCTCAGATCCCAAAGACCTCCTTGAACGGAAGAGAACTGCTCCAGCAAGCATGAGCTACTTATACAGAGTGCTAAAACCTGTCATACATTTCAAGTTTTATCAAAATAGTTTTGTTTTAAATCCCCACTTCTGATTCTTTTTTATGCCAGTTGCTTGAAAATTTCAGGAATTTGTAGCGGCAGTGCGCATGACTTACAGGAGCAAAGTTGGGCTTGGAAAGAACTACTTAAGCTCTTACATTGCCTTCTTCCCTACTTTGAAAATTATGAGTAATTGACACTATTTTGTATACATAGAAAACATTCTGTTCCTGAAATAAGATTGAGCAGAACTCTGGAACATCTCACTTTTTCCCCCAGGCCTCTCTAATCCAGTTGTCTGGTGTTGATTCAAAAATATTTAAGAATAGCTATTTCTGCTATTTTAACAACCCAAATAAATGGCTGGATCTTCATGGTCCAGGGAAAAAAAATCTTAATGCCCTCAGAAACTTTCCATCTTCCAAATAGGGTGGTCTATTTATATTGCAGGTTTACTGTGAAATGTGTTCACTAGAGTAGAGAGAAGGTTACTTTTTTTTTTTTTTTTTTTTGCTAAAACCATAATTCTGCTTTTAACCTTTCACCTCAGGGTGGACCTTTACAGTCACAATAAAAATGAATGCAGCTTTTCATAAGACCTTAAGATAAGCTTCCTCCCTCTCTTCTTCTCTCTAGGAAAAAGAGAGGCAGCGGTTAGAGAATCTGAGGAAAAAAGAAGAGGCCGAGCAACAAAGAAAAAGGAAAGTGGAAGAGGAAAAGAAACGGCGATTAGAGGAGATGAAACGGTGTGGATTTGAATCCTTATGGCTGCTTTTTTTGTAATGTCTCCTGATCTTTTTGGCTTCCTTCTAACTGGTCTCCTGTGTGCCCTCAGTAAACGTGAAGAGCGTCTCCAAAAGGTGTTGCAGGCCCGGGAGCGAGTAGAGCAGTTAGAGGAGGAGAAGAAAAAACGACTTGAACAAAAATTGGCTCAACATGAAGAGAAGAATGAAAAGGTAAATGAAGTGAGACAGCTTTTGGGAAATATGGTATATAGTATCCACATACTATCTAGTTATAAAGCCAGATGAGATTGTTAAAATCATGCTCTTATCATCTCAGCTCAGAACCACTCTTAGTCTTTATTCTATATTATTATTTATACTAGACTTTTCAGGCTCATGCAGAGAAAACATTACTTTTAACTTTTATTTCTTTTTTTTAAAAAAACTATTGTTTTTTAATCTGTAAGAAAAGAGAAAAAGAAAATAGTTCAATACAGTAATAAATGATAATGCAAAAAACAAAAGATAAACTAGAATAGAGCTAAAGCTTAGAAAGAAGATAACAGTAATAATAACAAAATGATATATACATTTAGAATGATGAAATATGATCATAATCAACTATTAAATAACAAATTAAACCTTGGCCACACGGAACCACGTTTATCAGATTTCTTACAGCATTGATGGAAAGTAAATTCATCTGTACAAACGTCATCCAAATTTTTAAACTGGATACTGCAGAATATCTTCTGAGCTGCTGCTATTCCCATGCAGGATAAATTCATGTTTTCACTAGGTACCAAATTTTTCAAAATATAATTTCACATCCATTCATGTTTTGGATTCTTACTTCTTTTCTAACCACTGCTTTACAACTCTAGGAGTTCCCTTCCATGTATAGACCATAAGACTCTTTTTTGGTTAGTACAGTCATTTTCCAATAAGGAGGAATTCATTAAAACTATAGGAAAACAAAGCACCCTTTCTTATTTTTCTCAAAGCTGGAAACAAAACTGTCCCTTCCATGTGTGTAACATGGCCCTATGCACCGCAGCCCTCCACGATGGAAATACTGTTTGCCCAGTTGGCATAATGTATTGTCCACTCACTATATGTTTCAAACAGAATATGTTCTATGTACCAGGCAAGATGTGTATTTTAGGTACGAGAGGAAAAAATAGCAGAAGGCAAAATTAAGAAAAGGGCAGCGGCTAAGAAGCTGGAAGAACTTGAAGCCCGGCGCAAGCAAGAGGAAGATGTCCGCAAACAGAGAGCACTGCAACTGGTAAAGTAGAGGGTTGGCGGGCAAAAAGCATGGTAGTGGTGGACCTAGGAGACTGAGGAAGGGGGAATTAATACGTTCCTATTTGTTTGTTTTTGACACAATTCTTTTAATTTCTGTTGATTTGGGGAGGTAATCTTAAAAAACAACATCTTTAGATTAATCAGATTAAATGTGCTTTATATCATGAGCATCAAGGTAAACCTCGATAAAACAGATTATAACTAATCAGATCCAATGCAGATTTGAATCAGGCCAAAATCATAGCAATGGAAAAAGCAGTTGGATGAGTCATTTGCCCAATAGCACCCACATTACTACAGTGGTGGCAAAAATGCATTAGGAAGATCAAGTTGAATTCTTGGTTTAGACTTTCTTCCTATTTGGAACTTTTTTCTGACAAACTGTTCCCCACATAGTCAAGATAAGCTTCAAAATGTCACTGTGTATAATTGGAAGATTTTTTTTTTTGCCTCTTTTTTCTTTACAATGATACATATTAAGAGCTGAGTAGAAAAAACCCGGATGTTTCAGGTTCAAATCTTATGAGATTGTGGAAGAGATATAGTGACTGTCATGTATGATTTTTCTTAGGAGGAAGAAGAACGTAGACATAAGGAACTGATGCAGAAGAAAAGAGAGGAGGAACAAGAAAGAGTAAGGAAAATTGCAGAACAACATCAGGCTGAGCTGGAAAGAGAAAAAGAACTGTCTGCTAAGAGAGAACTGGAGAAGAAGCGAGAGCAGGAAAAGATCCAGGCCCAGCGGTAAGAACAGAGTAGCTGACCATCCTTCTATTACATGAATTCCCCATAAAAGTAGGCATGGAAAGGCTTCCAAGGTGCATAAATATATAATACGGGTACCTTTCAGCATGACTGGGACTACCATGGGGTTTGAGTTAATGATGAAAAGATTGATTACTGGTGGCAAATATAGCATGTTTGCTTGCAGGAAGCATGAACAACAAGAAAGAGAAAAGGCTGCTCGTTTGCAGAGAGAGGTTTTGCAAGCAGCTAAAGAAAAAGAGAGGCTCAGGAAAGAAATGGAGGAGAAAGAGAGGAAATTGGTAAGGGATTCTTCATCTCTCTGAATGTCTTCAGTCATGTTTGCCCTCCATCCACCTCATCTGGATCCTGTTGGGCAACATCAATGACCTTTCTCAATATTGTATGGCCTCTTTTTAGCAGGAGCAACAGAAGCAAGAAGAGGAATTAAAGAAAATAACTTCAGAGGCTCAGGCAAAGGTTGCTAATAAGCAACTGAATGTGACCGTGAATATTGAGGTAACCTCAGAATTACCCTAAATAATTAGCAAAAAGCAACACAATAATAAATAATATATGGTCTTAAATTTAAGATTATATTGGGAAGCAGATTACCTCTAGCAGTGTTTTAAGATTTAATTTATAGAACCATTTTTAGTAATGCCAATAAAGTGGAATTCCAGCTTTTGAGTTGTTGAATAAGAATAACTCTTTGTATATACCTCTTCTGCTGGGAATTGTAGCTTGGCAGCTACAAGCTGGAGAGTCACAGTGACGTTTATTATTATTATTTATGTATTTAAAAGGTATAACTGCCCATCTTATAACAATGGCTCCCAATTAATTATTCTACAATAAACACAATTTGACACTGAATAAATCAGAATAAGATAGCCTTGGCCCTAAAAACAACAAATAAGAATGTTGGCCTATTTTATTGCTCTATGTCATTTCTAATAGAATTGTTTTTTCTTGAAATAGAAAGGAACTTCGGATCCTCAGGTTACACTTTACCACAAATGTCCAAAGCTGCTTAAAAGCAGGGAGGGTGCAGTCCAGAAGATTATATCTTACTGCTGCCATTGTTGGAAGAACTAGGGAGATTATTTGGGAATGAGGATGAATAAGTTATGTGGGTTACTCTTCTGCGAAACGGTGGGAAACTGCTAGCAGATATCCTCTAGCATGTGCTGCGACTCTTTTAGTAGTTCCAGTGACTTGATTTTGTTGCTGGCCTTCTTTTTTCTAGAACTCACCTATCTGTAATTCGTATCAAATGACACCTCAAGGCCCCAAACAACCCAAAATTGATATAAATAATTATGGAATGGATTTGAACAGTGATGATTCAACAGACGATGAGAATCAACCCCGCAAAACCGTCCCTGCTTGGGCTTCTGGTATGTTGAAACCCATCTGTGTTCTTTGCTTCACATTATAGCTGAGCGCTCCCTTAGATCTGCTTTCTCTTAACCCAGTGTTCTGCAGATGCATGGAAAGTGCAGCTTGTAGAATTGCTAATAATCCAGAGAGACAGAATAGTAACATGACAGGAGGGTGCTAGGTTGTGGAAGGCTTCCCAGCATTTTATGGAAACTGTTACCACAGAATATGATAGTTCACTTTACATGCTTTTAAAAATTGGCAGACAGGTTTACAGAAAAAAATATCCTGCAATTAGCCTTAAGTGCTGAACAGAAGATCTGTGCTCAGAAGCTGTGGAAGGAGCCATTAGTATTTTGGAAGAGTGAATGAGATGCTGGGCTAGATAAGCTCTGATTTGCTTTTAAGCAAGCATGTTTAGAAGATGCTTGAAAATCTTATTTCGGTAGTCTAATAAGATTTTCAAGCATCTTCTAAACATGCTAAAAACAAATCAGCTTAATGCAACATGGAATGGGCTACTAAAAATATGAAAGTTCTGTGTAATGTGACAGTACGGTATTCATGATGTACTTGAAGACTTGACACAGTCTTTTAAACGTGATTTAGCAGCTTGGTCTTTTTGCACACTTTGTGAATATACTTTTAAAATGTGCTAGGAAGCAGAATTTCTATTTCCTGCTGGTTTGACAATGGTGACTTTTTATTTTTAATCTAGACAAGATACTTTATAACAGTGTTTCTCAACCTTGACAATTTTAAGGCATGTGGACTTCAACTCCCAGAATTCCACAGCCAGCATGCTGGCTGTGGAATTCTGGGAGTTGAAGTCCACATGCCTTAAAATTGTCAAGGTTGAGAAACACTGCTTTATAAAGATTGCATAAATGCATTTCAAATAATTTACAATTAAAGTTATATATAGGATATCCATCTCCCTTATGGGCCGAATCTGTTAAGTATATTTTGAGAGGCAGATTTCACTGCTTCTAGCTGGAATCTATAATGGTTCAAAAATATTTTGGGAAGGAAATATTTTGTTAACAAAATCAAGATCAATTCTAACTTTAGTCTGGGGTTGTTGTTGTTGTTGGTTTTTTTTTTATTTTAAAATGTTCATAATTGTTGCTATTGTCTTCCTCTGTGAAATTGGGGAAAATTCATCCCTTCTTCCTTGGGAATACTTGCTGTCCATTTTAAGGACTGAAACCTCACAGTGCAAGCCACCATGGCAGTCAATATGTCGGTTCTTCCCTCCCTTAGGAAATCAACTAAGCCAAGCAATCCTGCATCAATATTATAACCCACCAAACACCAAAGCACTCTTTGGAGTGGTGAAGAGTCCCAAGTTGGAAGAAATCTTCGATAAAAGCAAGCCGCGTTATTTCAAGCGCACAAGCTCCGCAGTGTGGAATTCCCCACCTTTCCCAGGGGCCAAATCTCTGTCTTCTGCCTTCAAGAGGTGCTGATGCCTGTTCAATCTAATGTGTGTCTGGTTATGTTTGTCAAAGGAGAAAATGAGTTGCTTTTCAACAGAGTTTTGCACTCTGTTTTCTTTTATCAATATTAATAAATATTATACTCTTATAATGAAGTTGCTGTCTTTGCTCACAGTGCCTAAGTGACCTGCTAGGATTGGCAACAATATTATAATAAACCTACTGTTATGTATGACCGCTATTGGAAACCTATGTGCAGAGACTAAGGGAATTGATCTTGATAAAAGTATATAAGAACCATTACCTAGGCAAAGAGGGTTGAAACATCATTTAAGTCCTGGGAAGCAAGATAATGTTTGGAAGCAGCTCAGCCAAATATTTGCCTGATTCATTGAGGTATAACAAGGACGGGGGGTACAGTACAATCAGACATGAGAGATTCTGATTCTATAGCCTGCCTCAATAAAGTATATTATTTTTTAGTCTGTTCTATCTAGTGGGGTTGACATGTATGACCAAGAATAAGGACATGTCACTTGGCATTGAGTGGCCTTGGGTAATTGCTCATTCTAACCTATCGTTAGATTACTGTGAATATATGAATTGAGACAGATCAAGCCCTTGAGGGGGAAGAGGGGATAGAAATGCACCATGAAGCATGCCTATGGTCATCTTATGTATTTTTGAGCTTTATCATTAGACATGATAGAGCAGGGGTTCCAACACCATGGCCCACTACTGGGCCGTGGCCTAACTGCAACCAGGCCATGCAAGCAGCGGGCTGGCACTCATGCGTGTGCAGCTCAATTTGAAGTCGATCTGTATGCAGATGCACGCCAACCCACCACTCACATAACCTGGTTCCCCTCTCCCCACCCCAGCCAAGCCACCAAGCTGCAAAGGTTGGGGACTGCTGTGATAGAGAATGCAATTGTTGATAAAGGGGCTTAGTTTTCAATATGGTTGCACATAGGATTGGCTGCTATTAATCTCTAGTTTCCTTAATAAATTTCATCGGTGTTTTGATTACTTTGTCCTATAATATATTTGCCTCAACAGAGTTGCTCCTTTTGTACTGTCATTCTAAGGCACAAACCCTAGTTACAAATAAAAAATGTGTTTCATGCAACAAGTTACATTTTCATACCATACTATTATGGATTAGCACAATGCATGAATTCTGCCATTAAATTGTTCTGGAATGATTGTGCAAAAATTCCATCTGACAATTTTGAGGGGAAAATATCAGCCAGTAATGCAATATTTTGCAATGTTATGACATATCACTAACAGGTAGCCAACTTGTTTTAGAAACAAATCTACTTATCAGCCTTGTTATTATAGAGAATATATGGTAGTATCTCATGTGAGTGTAAAATTGGATTTATGTATTTGCTTCTATTTTTTAATATCCAGGAGAAATATGCTAAGAATCTCAAAATAGCCTTTTTAAAAAAAAATAAAAAAAAAATATTTCTTCGCTAGTGGATGGCAGGCTTGACTGGAACAAAAATCTAGATGAAGTCAACTGATATTCCCACCTCTATTGTGCATAGCCCCAGATTAATTACTTGACTTCTAAAACTGCCCATTCTCCCAAAACATAGGATGGCTTTAAAAGGGATAAAACCAAAACATGAAAGGAATTGAGCTGAAGAAGAAGATCTATTAACCTTATCTAGGGATTAGCAAAATTGCGCAGTCTAGAGACAGTGAAAAGAGTCAAGTCTTAAGTACCTTCTCCCAAGCCAATAGATTTGGGATATACAAACTTTGGGGGATCCCCAATAGCAATACCACACTTGAGCAACTCCTTGAGATTCAGTCCTACTATGTCCTGGTTTGGGTACACCTTTCCAGTTTGCTATTGGGAAAAGGTGGAGGGACTTTGGAGTAGTTGGTCCAAAGCCATGAGCCAGGTTTATACACATGCTGTCTGGTGCAGCAGTGCAAATGCTATGTCCATGATGGAGCAAATGCTGAGTCCCCTAGTGATAGCGTTCCTTCAATCCACAAGAGCCTTTTCAGAATTAAGTGTACTAATGGCAGGCATTTGTCACTCATTAGTAAATGAAACAAAAATGCAAAAATACTAGGCAGTCGATTTAATAAAACAGGAAATATACAAGACCCAGCCAGTGTGAAACAATAGCACACAGAGATACAGAAGTTCCAGAAATGAATTAATTTCTGATTCACATTTATAAAATGGTTTATTTTTCAACTCCTGATGTTTTGTAGTCAGTATCTTGCATCTGTTTATTGCTTTCTGTAATGAGAGGAAGATTACATAAGATATTGAAGGGAAAAGAAACAGAAAATTGACTAATCCCAGGCATGTTTTAGAAACAAATGCCACTAGGTTCCATAGGGCTTATGTCTTATAATAAGTACCTGGGAGGGTGTGTGTGAGAGGATTAAGGGGTTTTTTTATTATTGTTTACCCTTTGCTGCCTAGAGCCTTTAGGAATAGGTGGCATACAATTATAGTAAGTAGGTAAGTAAATAAATGATTTCTATGTAAATCATAAAAATCTGTACATTTGTCTATTCCAGAATAAACTTGTTTGGCTTCAATCTGATTTTCCTAGCCTAATCTCAGAATTTAAGTAGTGTCAGTCTTGGTTAATATTTGGATGGGGGAAACCACTGGGGAATTCCAAAGGCATTAGCTAGATTGATGTCACAAAAAAATCCAAAATTGAATTGTAGCTACTCACTTCTGTAGCACGACCAATAAAACTGACCATATGCTATAATTAGGGCAGTGCAACCACATCTTAACTATGTTAACTATGAAAACTTTAAGGTATCTGACACAACATTGTTGCTTCCAGAGAAGATGGAAAAGGAATTGGAGGTAAAAAAGAAAATATAATGTATAATTTTATGCTGCTGGATAAATTGCATATATAATTCAATTAATCAATAACACTTTGCTTAGAAAAAAAATGTTATAGAAATTCTGCATCTTGCTGTAGGGGTGTAGTTCAAAAAAAGTGCTATTACCACCAGTTTACGTAGAGCTTCTTTTTCCTTCAGTGAATAAGCGTCAACACACTCTTTTATTTTCTTTACAGTCTCTGTTTCTGAATTTGTTGGATTATAAAGCTGCAGTTCTTGAAGCAGATCAGCCTGCAATCCTCTATACATTAAAAATAAAAACTGTTCAACTGAGCTGCACAGGGCAGAAGCTAAGAGAGGAAATAAAATGAAATGAAAAGATTTTTTTTTGTTATTATTCTATTGTTGATTTTATCATTGACATTAAGTTGCTTAGAGTTAATCAGATTAGATAGAAGTCATCTGAATGAAGGATGAATGGAGTGGTGGGATTCAAATATGTGAACAACCACTTCTCTGTGTGGATGCCGCTTCCGGAAGTCCATTCTGGACCTGGGCAACAAAAAATTAGCTACCGGTTCTGTTGAAGTGGTGCGAAATGGCTGAATCCCACAATTGGACAAATTAAAGAATAAATGAATTTACTCAAGAAAATGGAAGAGCTTGCCTTTCTCTTAGTGTCAGAGTGCATGTTATTAACTATTCTTACTATGTTTTCAAACCTTCATTTGAGATGAAAATGCAAAAAGATAAGCTTTATTGCAAAGTGGATATGAAGAAGGAAATTTCAGAAGGTATGCTTTCTGTATGGAATATTGATAGACTTATTTATATTATTTGTTAATTAAAATTTCTGAGTGGAGTCCTTGGTGGTCTCTGAGCTTGATTGTTTGCATGCAGACATTTCATTACCTACATAGTGCACTGATGATATAATCTAGTTGGTCAATGAATTATTGCAAACAAATAATAAACCTCAGAGCACCAAGGACTCCATAGTTCAACCCTGAGTACCTATATTTCCTTCTGTCATCTTCTGAACTATTTTCTGGCCTATGTAGAATCAGCTTTCATTTTATATCGTCATATATTTAAAATCAATTGCTTTGAATACTATGGATTTTACACAGTAAATACATAAGCCAGTGTGACAGCCTAGCATTCCAGGAAGTCCCCTTCTAACTCCTCACACACACACACACTTTTAATTGTCACATTCCCCCTCAAGACAAGGTAACTCAAAAGTCCAGAATATTGGCAGGAGGACCATTTACTGTAATTTCTGGTGTATAAGACAACTCGGTGTATAAGATGACCCCCGACTTCGGAGCCGATTTGAATGCCTAGAAAGTCTTATATGCCAGAAACTACCGTAATTTCTGGCGTATAAGACGACTCGGCGTATAAGATGACCCCCGACTTCAGAGCCGATTTGAATGCTTTAGAAAGTCATCTTATACACTGGAAAATACGGTACATTTACCCTACCGTCCTTTTTTCTAAGTATACATTCCTTTGTATGATTCTTGGGAACCCAACTATTCTTCCAAAGCATAGGAAACAAAGAGTATGCATAATTGAATCTCATTCTTCAAACCTTATTATTTTAATTGGTATCTCTGGGGGACAGTTTATACATTTTCTTTAACAGCACAAGCCTGACCGTGATAGATCTACTTGTTTACATAAGAGCAGTATCCTGAAACCATAAAACCATCAGCTGCAACTATGACTGTCTTTTTTTCATCTTACCTCTAAGCCAGAGGAGCAGATACCTGAGAAGAGATGTCGCCTGCCTTGAGCATTAATTATTTGAAATGTCCTGGTTTAGGAGGCCACTTCTGGAATTTCTACTGCATGTCATTTATCAGTGGTGTCAATGAAGATGATATATTGAATTATTTTACATGTATTTTTTTCAGTGTACTCAGCCAAAAGCCTATGGTGATTTTAATAATGCTTACCAGAGTAACAGCTACATTCCAGGGTGAGGAGCACAAGGAACAGTGGCAGCTTCATGGTAGAGGAAGAAAATCACTGTGCTATTCTGCAAGTGAGATCTATCTATAGAGAGAGGAAAAAGAAAGGGTTGCTCCACCCACAATGTGACACATAGGTATGCTACAGTATAGGCAGGTAATACAAAATCAGCATTTCAAGTACTATGTCCTATATTTCAGGAATTGTTCTCAGGCAAATTTTACATGAGAATTAAAATCAGTACACACTGTGGAACAGCAACCTCATCCTCTTTGCCTGTTCAGAGATGCCAGCAGTGGCAAGAGATGACAGTGATAATGCTAGCAGGGATAGTTCTTTAAAATGGAGAGGCCTGGTGAAGGCAAGTTGTCTCAGAGTCCAACCATATTCAAAAGTAGTACTATTGTGATAGCACAGTGGTTAGAATGCACTCTGCCCACAATCAGGAGTTCGATCCTGATCTGCCCAAGGTTGTCAGTTTTCCACCCTTCTGAGGTAAATAAAAGGACCCAGATTGTTGGGGTAATACGTTGACTCGAAACCTCTGAGAGAATGCTGTAAAACACTATGAAGTGATATATAAATCTAAATGCTATTACTATCAGTCTTACTGCTTAAACCTTGGAGCTACTGATCCTTTTAGTAAATCCTTCTCAAAGGGATTATAGCAACACCACAAAAGCTAGTTTGAATATGCATAAAACCTCATATGCAGAACTTAAACTCTTGCTTAAAGCCTCCTCCGCTGAAAAGCATTGCATATTTAAACTACAGTGATTTGTTTACACTTCACTCTGTAAGAATTAGCCTTAAAATCATGATTAGCCACTATTAGCTAATAATTAACCATGGACAAGAAGAAGGGAAGTATACCAAAGACCTGGAGCTTCTCCATGTTTTGCTGGAGACATAAAATCTTCACTTAGAGAGGCGACTAGCACTCCTACTAGATTTGGTAGATTTAATTAAACCAATAGTAGGCTAGCTTACAGAGAATATGGCAACCCCTGTACCACAGAAGCTCTGCCTTCCAAGAAGCCAATAGCATGATTTTCAGTTTCTATTACCTGAAACATAAAGCCCATCAGTTTACTTAATGGTAGAACTTAACAGATTTAATTTAATTCAAAGCAAAAGTTTTGCTTTGCTGTTTTAACATGTTACAGACTGCACAATATTCTTTCTAAAGCAAAGCAAAGTGAGCAGGGTTACTTTGAGGTATCTGAAATGATTTTGCAGTCTTTAGTCTCAAAATGCTCCTAGCAATTGCATGAAGGTTTTGCTGGAGTATTCTATTCACAATATGTTCTGTGTCAAAGTGTTTTTTTTTCCTTGAATGAAAAAAAAAGTGTCATTTCAGTCGGGTGAATACTGCTTATAACTCACAGACTATTGATGTTGGATGTTTAAGGAGCAGCCTATGCACCTGGAAAAATTCTTGCTCCACTTCATTTTGTGACTCCTCTGCTCCTGGTCTTGTAATGCATTCGGACAATTACTGTTGGGTTGCTGGAATACCAGCATTATAAATTACAGATATTTGAAGAGCAAGAAAGTTTTGTTATCATGTTGACCTTTTGAGGATTTTCAATAAACATGTTTGAATTTTTAAACAACTGCTTTTCCTGTTGTATAGGTTCCCTTCAC